ATTTGTAATCATTGAACATTTATGATGTTATCAAGAGAAGATGGACACATTTTATTTCACATCAAGATGTTTGAAATGTCTTAGTAGAAATGTTGAAGTTAATTTGCAAAATATTTAATGTTATCTTAAAAATCCACAGCTGAGAGAAACCAGTGATGCGCTCCATCTTTATTGTTGGTAAGTCCCTGATTTCTGCTGTGTTATGTTTCCTGGTGTCATCGCTTTGGTGTATTTCTTCAGTTCTTCAGTTCAAGCTTTGCTGAAATACAGTATCTCTACTTGCATGAATTTAAGGGAACAAATAAGAGCTAGTGTATTTGTGTAATCTCTAATCTGTCCTTTCTTAATCACCATAATTTCAATGTGCAGATCAGATGCAGGACAGAGGGAGGTCACACATTAAATTATTCCGCCAGTCTCTGACTGTGCTCTCTGTAATCTTAAAACCACACTCATTTACAAAGTGATTGCTTATGCTGCATGACTAGCGTTTTGTTTCTGTATAATTATCATAATAAAGTCCTCGAAGTTCCCTGAAAGTTAATTTTAAAGGCTTTTTTGTGTCACATTAATGCCAGCATTTCTCTGCAGTTTAGTAAGTACAAACCTGTAGTGTGGTATCCATCAATGTGGCTGTTTACAGTTCAGTGAGATGCAAGTTAGGATTAATTCTAAAAATATGAATTAAAATAAAAAGATTTCAAAAAGTTAAGAAATTCTATATAAAGGCTTCATTCTGTAACCAAACTATTTATTCAGTAAAATGAGATGGTTTGACTTTCATTTCTGTGTTTTGTTTATTTATAATTTAGGTGTTTTTTTTTATCTAAAAAGAATGCTTGATTTTTTATTTGTCATTTAAAAAAATTGTTTAAAATACAAAAAAAGTTGGAAAGTATTTCCTAGGTCAAAGTTTAGAATCGGTTAAAGTTTAAGAGTAAGAGGCAGCTAATCAATTGACCACATGACAATTTTATAAACACTTTGAAAAAGCTATTAATTTACAATTGAATGTGTATATATTTTTTTCTTTGTTTAATGTTATTGGTTGTACATTAATTAGTATTTCTGTGATTTTTTTTTATTAATTAATAAAAAATTTTATTTTATGACCCACATATGCAATGTGATACGGATATTTAGTTTAATTGTTTCAGAACATGACCTTCAGGGACGTACATAATAGAGAATTTGTCTAATTACATATTGTGGTAAAATGGCACCCTCTAACTAACACATCTCCTTTCCCTTCTCTCCAGTGTATTTCCTCCTCCTTCCCCCTCACGCCCTGTCCCTGTGGGCCTGCACTCGCTCCTGCCCACCCAGTTGCACGTGTACTCAGGAGAAGAGCTGCAGCGTCCTGTGCGACCACGTCAACATGATGGACCTGCCCAAAGAGTTCCCATGCGAGGCGTCCTCCATCAACCTGGACAAGAACAGCCTAAAGTTTCTGTCCGAGCGAGCCTTTGGAACCCTGCCTTCACTTAAGAAACTCTCTCTTGACCACAACAACATCTCCTTCATCACGCCTGGAGCATTTAAAGGGCTGCCCAACCTGGTGGAGCTCAAGATGGCCCACAACGAGTACATCCGATACCTGCACACTCGCACCTTCACGGGACTCAAACGCTTGGTGCGCTTGGACATTTCCGACTGTAACCTGTTCAACATGCCAGACCGGATCTTCCTGGAGCAAATCACCCTGAAAGAACTGCTGTGTTTCCAAAACAACTTCCGACGCATCACTGGTGCCCTCCGAGGGATGGAAAACCTCACGCACGTTTACTTGGAGCGCAACAAGATCGAAGCGGTGGCCTACAACTCTTTGCTGGGCCTGAGCAACCTCAAGTACCTCAACTTACAGGAGAATCGCATAAACGTGATACATGACGAGGCCTTCAAAGATCTAGTGCGTCTGGAGAACTTCTACCTGAACGATAATCTGTTGGTCGACTTGCCACAGCAGGCTTTCAAGGGCCTGAGCAACTTAAAAATGTTGAATCTGGGTGGGAACCTGATAACCAACATCTCCAGAACATGGTTCAGTGACCTGGTGCAGCTGGAGGTCCTGTACCTGGATCGAAACCGCCTGTCCTATATCGAGGACGGCTCCTTTGAGAACCTGACGAGCCTCATCACGCTGCACCTCAACAGCAACAATCTGACGTCTCTGCCCTTCTCCGTCTTCCAGCCCATCTATTTAATCGGCCGCCTGTATCTCTTTCGAAACCCCTGGGAGTGCACCTGCGACCTGGAGTGGTTGAAGGAGTGGATGGAGAGCTATAAGTTGGTGAGGGACATCCCATGTGCATCCCCGTCCTCAGTAGCTGGCTTGGACCTGAGCGAAGTTGTCTACATCCACCTGAATGGCACCTGTCTGGATCCGCCAGAGCTCAACCTGACCACATCTCTTCCGGACTACCCTACCATGGAGAACAAGTTCAATAGCCTCATCTCCAAGCTGCTACAGCAGGAAGTGATGGATGAGATGGTCAACGCCACGGACGGTCTGAGGAACGGCACCCAACAGGACCCCGCCGAGAGTCAGGTTTCTTCTGGACATGGATTGTTCAGTGCTGCTCAGACTGTGTTTTTTCTTGTGTTTCTTTTTCAAGCCCAGATTGCCTGCGTTAACGCCTCTTGAGAGTCTGAGGAATTCTGAAAGGGGTTGAAGCGCATTCAAGAGTGGAAGTATTTTCCCAGTAGCTGAATGGGAAATGTTTGGATTTAAGGCTGTGATAAAACATTTGAGCAGTGCGTTAAAAATTATATTTGGCTGATGTAATAGAGTTGGAGATCATCGTCTCTTTAAATGAATGGAAACTAGTTTGAAAGGACCAGTCAAGGACCTTGAATTGTGTTAAGCCAATGAGACTGCAAGAGACTTTTTGTACAAATGAAAGGCGAGACCTGCAACTAGTGGCACAAACGTTTTTGTGTCCTTTTTTATCTCAATTTGATTTAAAACACATCTTTATAATGCATTTATAGTATGAATACGTTTATACATGTTCTGTTGCGTAACTTTGAAACATTTGTTTTGTAGGAGATTTATCTGATAAAGCTTCTCACTATCTTTTCACCAGATGGCATAACACACTGTCCTCTTTTGTTTGGTTCATTAAACTGGGTAAGTTTCCAGTTCTGGAAAATGCATTAGTCTTCCTCTTCCATAAAGCTTAAGTGCACTCTGTAACATAAGCTGCTTCATATTGTAACCAAATGAATTGGCTTTATCATGCTCGTTTTACTGTTATGAACATATTTTCTATATATGGAGAGGAATATGCATTGGATGATGCAGGAATCATGAGTTTCTGAGCGGTGCATGAGATTTCTAAAGAACCCTTTTAATTTACCTGAATTTTGTTCATTTGTGATTAATGCTTTGAATAAACAAAGATCATTGCAAATGACTAGTAACTAAAATGACAAGGCATAATTTTATCTGAGGAGAGTTGTTGTCTATTTAAATTAGTCATTTTTTTTCCTGCTAAAACTGACCAAATACACTCGAGAAATGCATTGTCGGATAATTTTTGTTTAGTTCACCATTTCTGCCTTTTACTGAAAAAAAAAGTGCAATTCAAAATTTGGCTCTGGTTTCATATTCCATTGTTTTCATTGAATTAAAAATATTTGTGTAAGATTTTGAATGACCGCTAAAATGATTTAAAACACATCCCTCGCTTTATGGCACATCAGTGTATCATTCAGGGTTCAGGTGAACAGTGTGGCTCTATCATTCATTCATTCATTGGAGTACACTTCATCTGGTTATGGCAGAAACTGAAGTGAAGAAAGCAGTTCATGATATTACAGCCCAAACCTGCTAGAGGAAGGTGAAGCCAAGTGCCCTTCAGTTGTGCATCCTGGGATTAGAATGTGAATAAATCCTGCTTTATTTCTGACAGTTTGTAAGTTGCACTCACTTGAATCACCGTACCAAAATACACTACCATTCAAAAGTTTGGAGTCAGTGAGATTTTCTTTTAAAGAAATGAATGTTTTTGTTCAGCAAGGATGCATTGAATTGATCAAGTGACTTGTCACAAAAGATTTTTACTTAAAATAAATGCTATTCTTTTGAACTTTCCATTCATTAAATAATCCTGAAAAACAAAACCCCACTGTTTCCACAAAATATTACGCACAACCATTTTCATCATTGATGAATGAATGATTTCTGAAGGAAGACTGAAGACTGGAGTAATGGCTGCTGAAAATTTAGCTTTGCTATCACAGGAATTAAAGGGATATTTTACCCAAAAATGAAGTTTTATTAAAGAGATTGGTCACCTGACAATAAAAAGTCATCATTTACTCATCCTCAGGTTGTTCCAAACCTGTATGCATGTCTTTCTTCTGCTGAACACAGAAGATATTTTGAAGGATATGGGTGACAAGACACCATTAGTTTCCATATTTTGTTTCTATACCATGGAAGTCAATGGCGGCCCACAATGGTTTAGTTACAAACATTCTTCAAAATATCTAATTTTGTGTTCAACAGAAAAAAAGAAATTCATAAAAGTTTGGAACAACTTGACCATGAGTAAATGATGACAGAATTTTCATTTTCAGGTGACCAATCTCTTTAATAAAACTGCATTTGTGACTCACAAAGCATAAGAGACTTCTTGGAAAACAATACAAATCTTAACCCCAAACATTGGAAGGGTAGTGTATATTAAGACTTAAAAATTCATGCCTAAACTTTACACATGTAGCAACCAGCTCTCGGTTTCAATTAAACAGAAAGATGTCAGAAAACCAGTATCAAAGCAAACACTCGCGGACACATAACTGGGGATTGATCCCGACTGCAGTCACACAGAGTCAAGCGGGAAGGGCGTGACCTACCACAGCTGCTGGGAAAAATCCAGAAAAACAAAATGGTAAAAGAGGAACAAAGTTTCCATTGGCCCCATCTCTGCCAACTCACACAGAGAGGCCGGCCAAAAAACTGGATGAGACAACAGAGCAGAGGACACAGATGAGATCTTCACCACATTAAAGGAAATATATTTAAAAAACCAAACAAAAGACGCTCACGCCGAAGAGCTGCTCCGTCATCGGCAGAGCCATTTATACAGGGCAGTTTGAGTAAACAGTTTGTCATGTACAGAACCATTCAGATGAACAGACAGAGTCGTCTTTTTGCTTTGCATGGACGCACCTCTTCCTGAAACAACTTCACAGAATAAAAATGGGATTTCTGAGTCAACATTAATGTTCTCAAACGACACATTTCTGAAATGCCAGAACATTTTTATCCCCAACCCCTTTATCTTACAACAAATAAAAATTTAGACCATTTACAAACACATTTTACTACATGATTGGTAAAAATAAACTTTACAAAGTTGCCAAAATGCAAGGGATGTGCATAGGTCTTTTTTCCCCCCCTCCTCGTCACCAGCTCCACCTGTTTGAATATGTTCGTCCAGACGAATGGAATGTTTTCTGCCGTGGGTGACGGTCTGAACACAGCTAACACTGACGGCATGGACGCTCGTGAATGTTCACATGCATGAGATCTCATTCAAATCTCTAAAACATTTATGCAAGTCTTTAGAGAGACAGTATCCACGTGTAGAGGAGGGTGAACTGGGAAAAACAAATGGAAAAAAAAGGTTTGGTTTTAAATGAACGCTGAATCGGTGGGTTGTGCACTAAAGCAGCTAGGGTCTGCCACATGGATAATGTGGGGATTATGTATTAATGGACGGGCTGGACAGATGAAAGCTATGAGGATTCTGCTGTAGTAATGCTGCACCTTTTCTCTGGTACTAACAGAAATGGGTAGAAAAACTACAAAAATATTCCTTTTAGGAAAATGCATCATGTAGGATACTGTCTCTTTAAATAAAACGTCTACAAAATGTCGCCTCCTAGCTATATAGACATGACAATATTTAGTAATTTATTTTATTGTTCTTTTTTCAGTAATACAACACTACGTCTAGGTAGTCTGTCTGTGAGGGGCCAAGACTAGGCTCACTGCAGGTACACTGATGTTTGTGAACATCAGAGGTGAGCTTTTGTTTGCATCATGGGAAAGATCGGAAGTTTTCTTTTCTTTTTTCTTGCAGAGATTCACTGCAAAGTATGAAGGGCATAAGGTTACAGGTTGATGGGTTTGCTGATTTAGTAGACCCAAGACACTGGAACCCACTGGGCTGTGGTGCAAACCAGGTCTATGGCTTCCTCCAGGAGCCGAATAGTCTCGTCAATCTCATTATTGATGATGGTTTGGTCAAAATAGTGTGCATATGTCTTCTGGAGGATTTCAGACTCCTTCTGCAGCCTCTGTAATGACTCGTCCTGCAGCATGACAGAAAAAGTGAGTAAAAGAGCAGATGAGAGGTCAAAAAAGGGACTTTTGAAAGATCAGTGGAGGACAATGGATGAATTCGGACCGTGTGCCCATTTAAGAACATGTCATTGATGACCCCAAAGGTATTTGCAGGACTATAAACAGACAATGGGAGAGTTGGGAAGGATTGTACACAATAGTGTTCAGAAGTTTGGGGCCTGTCATTTATTTGATCAAAATAAAGTGTCACATGATCCTTCAGAAATTATTCATATATGCTGATTCTGTGCTTATGTAACATTTATTATAATTATTATCAATTTTGTGCTGCTCAATATTTTTGTGAAAACATTATAATATATATTTTTTTAAATTCATCCTTGTTGAATAAAACTATTATAAAAAAATAAAAAAAGTCCAAACTTTTGAACAGTAGTGTGCAGATCTAAAGTAGAACACTTAAATGTGGACAAGGGTTTTCTTAAAAATTGTCATCTGTCAAATTGACCTTTGTTCTAAAGGTCATGAATAGAGTGGATTTTTTGGGCTAGAGCTTAGCGATTTAGCTGACTTCCTGTCATACTCACAGGCAGCTTCCTGCACCATCTGGGAAGCTGAGCGTAATGTAAGGAAAGGTAGAGGAAATTAAAAAAAACATGCAAAAATGTGCATGCAAAAAAAACAAACAAAAAAACAACAACAAAAAACAGACTAAATAAAGATTTAGTTGAATGAAAGAAGGTAGAAAAGTTAGGTGGCGTTATTCTGCCAGTGAGAGAGACGCATGCCATGGCATATGTTTTGGATCCTGATCTCACCTCATTCATGCCAGGAGTGATTGTTGGTGCAGCAATGAAAACCACATAGGGAGCAAATTCAGCTGTCCGTAAAACCTTCAGTGCCTGAGAATGATCAAACACAGTACAATATGTACTACAGTTTTATGCTCCAATCATTTGTGTCAATGTATTCCAAATAAGATTATAAACTCACTAAATTAAAGATTAAATCAAACCAGTTAGTTTTCAATTATCACAATATCACAGTTTTACATCAATTCAATACTTTACTCAATACTCAATAAACGGTTTTAGCAGATGTTGTTAGTTTTGCCATGTAACTTAATTTAAAGGAGCTGTATGTAAGAAATTTATTTCAAATAATCATAAAATGGCCCTGAAATGTCACAAGACATTAAGAAATCATATTCGTTTCAAATACTTATATCACTGACAACAGTAGTCCGGCCATGATATTGTCATTTAAAAAGTGAAGTTGCAGCCCTCAACTGTCATGTTGTGTTTTGGTCTGATGCTCCAGGTCTGATCGCCTCCACCGATCTACCAATCACAAAGTCAGTAGTGTTGCAGCACTGCTCTAGTTACCACAGCTGCAGTTACAAACTTGTGGAATAAAAAAATGATGGATCCTGCAGCCTACCTGGCAACCTCGAGTCAGGGGGCAGGGGATACACAGCACTACAGTAATTTGAAAGTGATTGCAGTACCAGTTTTGGCCACAATCTTACATACAGCTCCTTTAATAAGGAATACTTTTGTAACTGGGAAACAATTCATATGTGTCTCAATGTTCCCTTTCCATTTGCCTTTTTCAAAGTTGCAGTTCTCTGAAAGGAGCGACATCATTTTTAGTATGAAAAAACAACATAAACATGAATTCTATTTGACTTCACAGTTTTATGGTATGTCGGGTTGTCTCAAGCTAAAACATTCCATACTGTTTGACAATCTGGAAATTACTATGAAAATATCAAAACAAATCTATGAAACAAATCAATTTTAAAATTGACTGTCATGTAAGATAACTGAATTCCTCACAAAGCAATGGCTAACTAATCTTAGGTCTTTATTTCCATCATATTAGTTCTCATTCTTTGTTTGTATTTATAATAAATAAAGTTCAAGTGCTTCAGCTTAACCAGAGCATATTTCCGAAAGTCTTTAAAGCTATTTGATTTAAAGGTGCTGCATCACAGTAATGACATACAAGGTTAATGTCAGACCATCTTCTGTCATTAATACACGCTGAGGGCATTGAAATGTTCACCTGTGGCTCTACGTCCAGTATGGCTATGAGTCCCTGCTCGTGGATCTTCCGTATCGTCTCCAACCGAGTGCCGTACATTGCATCCTCGTGGCTCCCGTACTCCAGGTAATCGTTGTTGGAGATGTCCTGCATCATTTGGTCGTGGGATACAAAGAAATAATTCTTGCCGTTCTCTTCTTCTTTCTTTGGAGGTCTGGTCGTGTCTTTTGGGGCAGAGATGAGTTTGCGGTTATCAGTTCAGCAGTGTCGGTGTGCAATCATGTGGACTGTTAGAGATTTGGGGAGGTTTCTTACGTGGAATGGGGTAAGCAAATCTGTCTGGGTGTTTGGTGATGAGCGTGTTTTTGATGTGTCTTCGGCCAACACCGTGGGCACCTGCCAGTTGAACAAACCACAAACGTCAGAGACACATACTTCCTACCAACTAATAAAAGTCAGTTGTGGAAATAAAGCCTAAATACACACCTAGTAAAACTAACGTTTTCCTCTTGAACGCTGGCAACTTCACGACTTCCTCATAAGTGACCAGATCTAGTTGATCAAACACTAACAGAACACAAACAGAAGACTGTTATTTAATAAGGGCGAAGGAAAATTGTATGTCATTGTCATTAGACTCCAACAAACCAGCTGTTCTAAAGTAAAAACAACAACAACATCAAATGTTGAATCTTACATAAGAAAAGAAGGATGTTTTGGGGGGTAATGTTATTGGTGTTTGTTCTATATGAGGATTCTGCATGTGTTTTGGGCAGTGTATGTAATGTTATAGGCCTGATGGGGGATTTGATACTGTGCCTGACTGACATTCAATCTCCACTGTAGCAGATTGGCTTCATCAAAAACCAGGTTGAGAGTAAAAATCCCAGCCACTCACACCTAGCATTACATATTCAAACTTTCACCGATGTAAAACCTGAAGACCTTCATTTTTCTATATTTCGTACTTTATTTAGATTACCAGTGCAGTCATCTAATGCTCAAAGTTAAAGTTCATCTTTAAAAACACAAATTTAATGGAATAAATGCAAATCTCTAAATGAATATCCATTATTGACTGTTGCAAGATTTACACTACCATTCAAAAGTTTGGGGTCAGTAAGGCTGGGTAATGTTTGTCTTAATGTAAAAGACAAGGTAATGTTTTTGAAAGAAGTCTCTTATGCGGTTATACTATTGCATTCCTACAACTCAATCCGAGAGCATGGCGCTAGCAACGGCAAGGTCATGGGTTTGATTCCCATGAACCTGAATCCAATGCAATTCGCTTTGAAGAAAAGTGTCTGCCAAATGCACACATGTAATGTGTAAATGCACCAAGGATGCATTTATTTGATCAAAAGTACAGTAAAACTAATTAAAATAAGTGTTTGAATACGTACATCTTAAAATGTAATTTATTCCTAATTTATTCATTTTAAGTCTTCAGTCTTCAGAAACATTTCTGATTATCAATGTTGAAAACAAGATGCATTTTCTTTTTCTGGGATTCTTAGATGTATAAACAGTTCAAATGACCAGCAAATGAACTTCAGCAGCATTGTGTCTTTACTGAAACTTTCAATCAATTGAATGTGTCCTTGCTGAATAAAAGTATTAATACTATTAGCCTACTGACCCCAAACTTTACAATTTTAACATCGGTAAATTCTTATATGCGTGTCCAAATGAGATTTATGAGTTACAACAGAGTCAATGTTTATCAGCTTGATTTCAGTCATCACACAAAGCCCTGACTTTAGTACAATTGTTGCATGGACTAATTCTATGGTGCTTTTTGGTCACTGTATGCTTGTTGAATGGAAAAAATAGGAGAAAAAAAAACCCTGCTAGTTATCTTCTTTTGTGTTCCAAGGCAAAAAAAAAAAAAAAAAAGCTATACAGGTCTGGAACGATGTGACGGAGAGTAAACTATTACATTAACAAAAATGTTACATATGACTGCACTGAAGGACAAAGTCTCACAACTATTGTGAACCTCTACAAAGCTTTACCAGTAAGCCTTTTCTACCAGTGTTACGGTTGCATGACGAGTAAAACTGGCATCAATGTGCATGCAGGGGGTGTTGAGGAGATATCATGCATGTGTGCAGGAGACAGTGTGTTGACTTGGCTGTGGGAAACGTGAACCATCTGTGTCATTTCCACATGAAATGTGATTCCAGCACTCATTTCCCTCTCTGAATAGACACCTTAAATGATTCATACTCCTTTTTCACATGATCTTGAGTATGCAGCTCTATGTGTGTAGGATGCTTAATGGATTTGCACACAGAGAAAAGCCTCGTCATGTGGATCAGTGAATATAGATGCACAGGGTTGAGAGAATACAGAATTAACAGGAAACTAAAAACAAACCTTGAGTACCACAAACATTCAAACACACAATTAAAAATATCTTTGTTTTTATGATTGAGAAAAAATGGAATTTGCTAACAGGCATACATGGATTCGGGGTTAATAAGATCATCACAGCAAAGGTGTTGAGTGAGACAGAGACAGATAGAGAAAGACAGAATTAAGCAGAAAGGCTGTATGCCACAGCAACACAGTTACTTACATGCACAGATGCCATTGGTAGATAGACAGCATGTAAAATGGACAGGGGAGGGGGGTCATTTGAGTTATGGCTCAATTAACATCAGTAAACAAATACAACAACAAGCACGCTTAAAGCTGTGATGTCTGAAGCACAGAGACATGATGACCATCCGTGAGCTCGAGTGTGTGATCACGGCTCTGAACAATGAAACATGCCTCTGACATTCACAGCAATGCGCTTGCATACCAAGGGTGGAATCTGAAAGCTGCAATTAAAGTGTGGTATTAAAAGGTTTTTGTGATCATCTGCTAAGTATTATAATTCGCAGTCACCATATGAATAAAGTTCTATTGCAGTAACGCTATGCATCATGACATACATAGCATAATCATGCTGTAATGCCTGTTCTTGGATAATCCAGTAAATTAAAAAAATATATATTTTCAATTTTTTATGAATTTGACAGACACAAACCAACAGATGAGATTATTCATCATAAAATATACTGATAGTCACTCAAATATATACACAGATGAGCCAAAACATTATGACCACCTGCCTAATATGCTGTTGGCCCTCCTGTGGTATCTGGCACCAAAAAGTTAGCAGCAGCAGGTCCTTCAAGTCCTTGGTTTGTGAGGTGGAGTACATCCCACAGATGATCAATTAGATTGATATGTAAGGAATTCTTGAACCTTGAACTCAAATCATGTTCCTCAAACCATTCCTGAACAATGTGTGCAGTGTGGTAGGGTGTATTATCCTGCTGAAAGAGGCCACTTCCACCAGGGAACACCACTGTCATGAAGAGGTGTATCTGGTCTGCAACCATGTTTAGGTAGGTGGCACATGTCCACATGACTGTCTGGATTTTCAGGGTTTTCCAACAGAACATTTCCTACAGCATCACACTCCTTCCACCGACTTGTCATTTTCCCATAGTGCATCCTGGTGGCCCCAGGCAAACAGCCATCCACGTGACGTAAAAGAAAACGGCACTCGTTGGCAAAACCTTCTGGACCATAGCCTTTGTTGTCCTTGTGCATCGATGTGCATTGGACGCCCAAAGCCCTTGCCGGTTTGTGGTTTGTCCATCCATGGACCACTGTTGGTACATTCTCACAACTACTGACTGGAAGCAATCCACATGCCTTGCTGTTTCAGAGATACTCTAACCCAGTCTCCTTGCCATAACAATTTGGCCCTTGTCAAAGTCAATTCCTGCCCATTTCTCCAGCATTCAACACGTTGATTACGAGAACTGGTTGTTTGCTTGGAGATCAACGATATTCGCTTTACCTTTGACTGGTCATAATGCTTTGGCTCATCAGTGTATACTGTGGTAAAAACAGTAAAGCAAAATCTATAGTGGCTCACAGATTTCTAGCATTGCTGTGTATCATTACCCTATATGGTTGCTAAGTGGTTTTTTTAATGTTCAAAGCTAGGTGGTTTCTTCAATGTTTCTGTACATACATTAACATTCAAAAGTTTTGGGTCCGTACAATTAAAAAAAAGAAGTTTTTTGAAGATGTCTCTTAGATGCACCAAGAAAGCATTTATTTCATCCAAAAGTAATGTTTTATGTACCCTTGAATGTCAGGTACTGGTTCCTTTTACAGTACAGTACTTACAGTGTACTTACAGTGTACTTACCTAGAAAGGACTGGCTAATATAAGGTAAGTATATGGAACAGGGGTAGGTTTAGGGGTAGGTTCAGGGTTAGTACTAGTTATTACCTAGTAATTGTAGTTACTAAAATAAATACATAGTATTTACATGGGTAACTGGACTGTAAAAGGAAGCGTTACCGAATGTCAAAGCTGTTTTATCTCTGAGAATATTTGAACCCTTTCTGTAAGAAATTTGATTGGCGGATTCAAATAAAGAAATCAAATGTGTGTGTGTGTGTGTGTGTGTGTAAAACATTAGATTTAGAAAACATTTAAAGTATTAAACTGGGAAAACTGAATTTTCATCAATCATTACTTCAGTCTTCAGTGTAACATGATCCTTCAGAAATCATTCCAATATGCTGATGTGGTGCACAAGAAAACATTTCTTATTATTATCAATGCTAAAAACTTGTGTGCTATTTAACGTTTTTGCAGAAACCGTGATACAAAACAAACCTTATTCAAAAAATAAAAATCTTACTGACCCCAAACTTTTGAACACAGGTAACAGCAGGTGATGCATGATGTTTAAGTGCCATTCATGTAAGAAAAACAAGCAGCTTTTTTTTTACCATACAATGAAAAGAGGATTTAGACCATGTGTCGATACTGAAATAAATAGGATTGAACTTCCTGCATTTGAGATGCACAGATGCACTTCCTGGCTTGTCAAGATGTACATGTAAATAGAGGTCTATTTTCTTTATAAGCCTGTTGCTGCAATGCTGATTTGTTTTTGTCTCGAGTCTCCCAAATATGAAATTGTCCTTGTGAAGGACAAGTCCTTAACAACTGCTTCCTACTGGAAAATCCCCAAACATATGCTTCCTATTTCCTTTCCTAACCTGATCTGAACCTGCGCATTAAAGCTTGAAAAGCCCAAAGCACAACTCTAACAAAGTCATAATCAAAACCGTTTTAAACAATCGAAGAGGAATTTGTGACAAGACCTGAAAAAAAGTCTGTAATACTCCGAAGAGTCCCATTTCCTGCCCCTCTGGCTGAGTGAGCTCAACTCAGACTAAAGTGGGGCACTGGGCTCAGGAGGGATTATGTCTGATCTGCGCTCCCTGCCGCTGCTGGCTGAGGGTGTGTGTGCTGAACATAGCCTTTTTGATCACCTAAGTGATTGGGTGCTCAGATAACTTTGTGATTCCAGCAGCCCAGATATGATCAGATCTACCATCAGGCCTCCTAAGAGCAAAAACACTTTATGCAAGTATGCAAATGCAGATTCAAATGCTTGGCCAACACATTCCTGACATACTGTTGGCAGTTTTGACAACTTTAACCAACGTTCTCAGCATGACTTTATTCAACAAACCTGGGGGAAAAATTCTGTCGGATGGTATACAAAACAAGCCAATGGCAAAGAAATGCCATGGGTCTGCGGAATTTGCATAGCGTATCTCTTGGAATTTGCATTCGCGTAGCGTATCTCCGCCTTACCTCATGGGTATAAAGGAGGACGCGGGCAACAATGTTTCTTCACTGGTGAGTCGAGATTGAACTCAGGCGATCCCCATGGTACAGCGGAAAGTGGCAGGAAGACGTAATGTCTCAGTTACGGATGTGACCCTCGTTCCCTGAGTAGTGAACGGAGACGTTCAGTCTTCCTGCCACTTTCCGCTGCACCACAGGGATCCCTTTCGCTGTCACAACGAGTTCTGTCGGATGACGACTAATGAGAATACCAGTTTAATCACGCCACCTTCTCGGCTGTCTTCCAGTGTCCTGCGTAAATCTGAGATCCCTGTCGTGAAACTGGCATGGACGAAGGACTCTTCGTTAGCGCAGGAATACAAAGTGACACTGGGGAGCATATCCCATAGCTTAGAGGAAATATGCAATTATTGCCAGCCCAGAGGGGTGTGGTGGTGGGGTGGACTTAGAGAATACACATATGACATGAAGGAAACATATGGGGAACACTGGGTTGTCCAGCCGCAGGTGGAATATTTCAATCCCAGGGGTGGCAAGGTGGCTTGCTAAGGGAAAGACACATGCTCAGAGAGGCTTACAGTGGAAATACACATGTTGAGGTGGCTCAGAGGAGGGACCACGCACATGGGAGACACCTAGCCGACACGCAGACAACAGACACTTGCGCAGGCGTCAGGAGTGCCGGAGGAACTCAGGGCTTTCTGGGAAGCTCACCTGAGGAGAATATTGCACTTAAGCAAAGACGAGCAAGGCGAGCAAGCAAAGACACCTAAGCGGGTCCGGTACTGGTTGAAGTGAGTACATGAGAGTACTCTGGCTCCACTAAGAGTGGAGTGTCGCCCAGCTTGCAGCTCTGAAGATGTCTGTTAGTGAGGCGCCATGCGCTAGAGCCCAAGGGGATGCCACACTCCGGGTGGAGTGGGTAGTCACACCAAGGGGGCACGGTCGACCTTGCTGCTGGTGAGCCAAAACAATGGCGTCCACTATCCAGTGAGACAGCTTTTGCTTGGAGAGTGCCTTTTCCTTCAGCTTCCCACCATAACAGACACAGAGCTGGTCTGAGGTCCTGAAACACTGCATTCTATCTACATAGGCACAGAGAGCACGTACTGGACAGAGCAGTGCCAAAGCTAGGTCTCCTCCAGGGGCAGTGCTTGCCGGATCACCACCTGGTCCCGGAAGGGAGTGGTAGGAACCTTGGGTAAATATCCAAGCCGGGGTCTCAGGATGAGAGTAGGCCGGCCCGAATTCCAGGCAGGTTTCGTCAACGGAGAATGCGTGCAGGTCCCCTCCCATCTTGGAGGCCAATGCAACCAGGAGCGCTGTCTTCATTGACAGGAACTTAACCTCCACTGATTGCAAAGGCTCAAAGGGAGCACTCTGCAGGGCAATTAGAACCACTGAGAAGTTCCGAGAGGGAACGAGAAGAGGGCAAGGAGGATTCAGTCTCCTAACTCCTCTCAGGAACCTGACGATCAGGTCGTGCTTCCTTACCTGACTGGCTGGGTCATGGTGTGCCGCAATAGTGGCAACATAGACTTTGAGGGTGGAGGGAGACATCTTTCGCTCCAACCCATTTTGAAGGAAGGAAATCACGACACTAATCGAACATCTCCGGGGGTCTTCTCGGTGAGAAGAGCACCAGTTGACGAAGAGTTTCCACTTCAACGCGCTCAAACCTGCCTCGTCCCGTCCAGGAGCCATACGCGGAGGCTCCAAAGATTGGGACGAGGGTGCCATAGGGTGCCCGGTCCCTGAGAAATGAGGGCCCTCCTTAGGGCAATCGGCCAAGGAGGCGCTATCGCGAGGAGTACAAGTTCGGAGAACCAGGTCCGGGTGGGCCAGTACGGCGCGACCAGAATGACCTGCTCCTCTTCCTTTCTGACCTTGCGCAGGGTCTGTGCAAGAGACTGGGGGTAACGCATATTTGCCAGCTGTGTGCCAGTGCATCAGTGCCGAACGTGCCCTTGGTCAGGGAATAATACAGGGCACAATGGGTCGAGTCGTGAGAGGCAAACAGATCTATCTGTGCGTCCCCGAACTTGTCCCAAATCAGCTGAACCGACTGGGGATGGAGTTGCCATTCTCCAGGGAGGGGCTGAAGCCGTGAGAGCTCGTCCGCTGCTCGGTTCAGGGCTCCGGGGATATACAGTAAATGGCATGAAGCGACCTCAGATGCTTCATATATTCCATATGAGGAGGTGGTGGGCGAGTTGCGACATGCGTCGGGAGCGTAGACCACCTTGACAGTTGATGTACACTACAGTGGTGGTACTGTCTGATCGGACTAGTACGTGTTGATTCTTGAGCACGGCCCGGAAGCGGCGCAGAGCAAGACGTACAGCCAGCAACTCGAGGCAACTGATGCGATAAAGGCAATAAATGCGTCAGTGTGCAAAGTCATTCGTTTCTTTTTAATGGTTGTGTAAATCCACACTTTTAGGAAGCTCACCTTTGAACTATTCTACACCATCAGGGATATCTAGCATGTTCAAAGGAGGTAACCTGACCCTATTTTAGATAATATTACAGACTGAATTAGGACCTATATGACTTGCTTATATAAGATGTTAAAAGTAGTGGGGTTCACTGCGCCTCTAACGAGATCATATAATTGTCACCTTTCATAACGACAGGATCATTTTATATAGAGGTTGTAAAACGTGTGCCTAGTTACAGTACATCTGAGAGCAGGAGGTGTTTTGCAGTACATCTGCAGTTTTAGTGTTGGTTTAGACCTGAAGCCATGATGAAGACGTGAACAACTGCTGATCACAAATAGTCACATACCACTGAGTCACTCACAGCAAAGACACACTCTCTCTTACCAGCAACCATGAACTCTTACGGAAAACATGGGCGTCTCACGTATTGTTTTTTTTATAGAATGCAGGCATAAACACTTTTGTGTATTGTGTTGTACATGCAGGTGTGCTCATCTGCAATAACTACCCAGGTTTCCACTGTGGCTGGCTTTAATGAGCCCCTTTGGTACTTGAAGCAAAATGAAAGACTCTCTAGAGCACTCTTAAGGGACTGTGTGGTCAGGGACAGCAAGCAGAATCAGACACACAGCTACTTGGCTATATATTGGCACAAGTCACCCTGCTATTTGTGAAAATGCTGCAGTCAGGACCTCGGGTTATTTGAGCTAGAGAGCAGAGGGCCCCATTACCTGCCCACACCTACCACCAGACACACAGGAACAGACGCTCACTACAGCTTCTGAACTACAGTCTGAATCATTCAATAGAGGTGTTTCTAGCTACAACCATTCCATGAGGGTAAAAGTCAGTTTCCGCAGAAAAGCAGAAATTAATATAAACACAAGACTAATTATAGACATATATGCATTCTTTCTCATGGTGTTCCACCAGGACTGAGTTAGCGATGGGCATCAACCACAGTGTTCTATGGTGCTTCTGATCATAAACTGTTTCTGAGTATCTGACAGAAAAGATGCGTAAACAAATTCAATGCAACTATATGATTATGAATTAAGATTATAAATTACCAGGTCAATTAAAACAGGTGCCATATGTGTCCATCATATGACTTAAGATCTCCTGATAATTGAAAAGTCGATATTTGTAGAAATACAAGCATTAAATTCTCTTTTTAAGTATGTAATTTTCTTTACAAAAAAAAAAAGAAATTGTACTGACTGTATTGACTCCAAACTTTAGAATATACTTTTGTATATATACTCAAGCTGTATAAATAATTTTTATATAAAATAATATATAATATACTGCATATTTAATATAATAAAAGATTATTCATTTAGCTTAAGATGGCATTATGGAATTATCATCACAACATTACATAATTCTCTAAATAAAAATGTATCTACAGTATAAAACTATAAAAGAGGCTGCCCTTTTAGAAAATAACACAATGGTTGTTTTACACACATCTCCACAAACATTTGCAAAACAGGCTTTAAAGATAAAATTCTTAAAAAAGAAGATTATCATTAATCATTAATTGTGATTTGACATCCTATTAAATGACATCCTATTTCCAAGTAGGAAGCATAACTTTCAAAAATAGTCTGCAAACTATTAGTAAACAGTTATGTTACTCATCTTAGAAGCCTATTATCACACCACGAACGATAACTATAATGATAACGTTTTAAATATTTTTCTAATTAAATGAATATAGGAAAGTCCATGTCACAGCTATACGGATAATGAATCAGTATCAGAACGATTTTGTCCAGTTGATGAACAACCAAAACATTGACAGCCAATCAGGATTTACTTGACTTGATTGAGTTTTAGCATGGGGTTAGACAACATTTTATGTACTAGTGTGGACACTAAGTTATTGTTATAATTCTTGGTGTTAACAGGGGCAGATAACTAACTAGATTAATAATAAGGGAGAGTTGATTGACCAGCATCATCTGTTGTCTATATGGAGAGAAAAGAAGCAGAAAGCCCAGTGGTAACTCTACCTGCGTTGTGCTTTGCCAGGTATTTGTCTTTGTACTGCTTTTTTTTCTTGCCAAACCAAGTACAGCTCGCCTGCTGCTCTTGCTTGGTTTTCTCCATGGCTATACAAGCCACCCGCCTACAACAAAAGAAACAATTAGATGGACGTGATGAGTGTGCAACATATCGTTTGGCCTTGATGATAGTACATTGAGTGCGGCTTGCATTGTGCTGAATCTCCGTTCCCTCCTCACTCAGCAGAAGCCAATCATAATCTTCTGACTTCCATCATTCAAATAAAATAAAAATGATTCAAAATGCTCATTATGCTCTAGGAAAGAAGCAAACTTGCCACTCCTGGAGTTCAGGTGAGGGAATCAATCCCGCCGTGCCATTCTTGGTGTTTTCCAGTTTGCCTTGCCACCAGTTATGGTCATCTTTGTTGATAATCTGGATTATGTCACCCACTCTGAAGCGAATCCCTGCCTCTTTACAGGGTATGAGATCATCCTTCACCGGGTCATACTCGAACTGTGCCCGTACATAGATCTGAAAAGAGACATGTTCAGCTGAAGTCAGAAAAGCCCTAGAGTGGCACAAGGAAAGGAGACTGACTGATGGAGGAAGTAAGGATACATTTGGAGGTCAAAGTACAACTAGGCATCAGGGTTCAAGTAAAGATCAGGTTTGGGTTGCGATGAGAGGCATGCTTGGCTGAAGCTCTGTATGAGGGCGAGTTATGTCTGGACATTTAGTGCAGTTGGATACCAAACTGCGGTTTGAGACTAGAGTGGTGTGTGACTCCCGCATTTAAAAAAATGACATTGGATTGACTAAAAGGGGCTGTTAAGTATAAATATTGTTTTGCAAAGATTGAGCTTAACATTATATTTTCTAAGAATCACAGTGATGATGTAATTGTTTTTGAGTCCTTGGTACATTTGGACTTAAATGGTTACACAACAGTTTTTCAGAGCAGTGGATTGGGCTCATTCTTTAAAATCTTACCTGGATGGAAAATTTATCCTTGATTGGAGGTCTGGAGATCTAGGGCATGAGAGTATTACAAACATCATGCAATATCATGGCACTGTGGCTGCATTAGTATGGCACTGTGAGCAGGGGTTGGTGAGATGGAGAATGCAGCTACGAAAGCTAACATTCAGAAAAGTTATGGGTCGACATAAAGGAACAAAAGCAGGGTGGAGATGTCATTTACATCACTGTGTTATTATCACTTATGGATATTTTGACGCACTCGGTGACGACTAACACAGATGGACTTGTGCTGGCAGATGGCGCCCTCTGCTGATCGCCTATCTTCCTTTCTACTTCTCATTCTATTAGGACACAATTCACTCAAGGTGAGGACTAGAGCTTAGAAGAACAAATTGGGATGAGCTCTTTCACCCATCATTGTCAGCTTTGTTGATTTACATTGTAATATAGTTGAGATGTGAAAGGATACACACACCACTCTGTAGCCCAGAACCAGTAGAAAAGCATGAAACTGCATTGGGACAGATCAGGACAGACACAACAAACTTGATTGATTTACTTCTTTAAGAAAGTTAAAAGTCTAACAGGGACAGAATGATAGTTGGGCGGGTGTTTTATGGTTTATGTGGAGTTACTCATTTTAAAAAAAGTAAAAAAAAACATTAGCAAGTTTTATTGTTGACGTGGTCTAAAAAGTTGAATAAATTGGGTCTTTTTAAGAAAACGTTATTTTCATATATTGATCTCTCGCTGTTACATTCTTTCATGTAATCAACTGTCTGTGAGGTTATTCGTCACGACACATGAATAATTTATTTATTTTTAAGAAGAGTACAGATAAAATGCTACTAATTTATTTCAAATCTTAATGGTTGTTTTAGACATTTTCCCAACTGTTGTGTTGCTAACGCATAGAATAAGCTATTTGAAAGACTACAAATTTACGCTAAAATTATCCATTTATTTAAACTTTTTTAGTAGTCACTAAAACAAAAAAAATAATAAGAGCTCTACATTTGCAATCTTGTTATTGTGTAAATGCAATGTAATAACACTACAACCAGTCTGAGATGTAGTGAATGGTGTTAGTGCAAGAACTGATTAAGAAAGTAGGGTGTTAATAGCAGTGAATCACTTGCTATTCGTTCATTCAATCTCAAGCACAAAAGAAAAATGGAAAGTCAATAGAGGAGGCTAAGAAGACTGTGGGATGCTCTATTCACCTGGCGTCCTTTTGGCTGGATGGTTGATGGCAAGTCCTGTAAAGCAAAGCCCAGCAGTGAAAGAGAGACTGACCATTTACAGAGGAAAGGCAGACTTTGACTCATGAAAGACGTTAACAATAAAAAGACAAAACATAACAAAAAATCTGGTTGAGAGGAGGCAATGCTAACTCCACTGGGGAGGATCACAAAAGTTTCTTCATTCTGCATGTATGCGTATGTTAAAAGAGAAGAAGGCTGTTGAAGGTAAATCTTGTAACAGCAACGCACAAGAAAGCAAGGAGCAAGCAAGCAGCTTTAGCACCACACTCCATTCAAGCATGTTCATGAGGTGGAGACTAACTCTCCACTATTAAGAACACTAAGAGGGTCCCACTGGGTCCATATAAGGGATGAGCGATATTAGAAAACATTTATATCATGTTACAAATTAAAAAAAAAAAAAAAAAAAATTATTGGAAAAAGTAGACTTAAGACTTAAAACAATGTCCAAAATAAAGGAAGGTTTATCACACATTTAAAGAATAATTATTCTTTTTAAACTTCAATTAAATAATTTATGAGTTATATATTTATTAATTATTACATTATGCAATGCATTTATTATTGATATTTAATATATATATATATATATATATATATATATATTTCAAAATATTCAAAATATTTCTTCTGCTAAGAATATTAGTTTTAGGAATATATCCCAAATAAATCATGACATATAGGAAACATTTTCCACTTTCCTAAATTTTTTCCAAACTTCATTACCAGGTCAGCAGTAAAATATGAGAAAATATCATTTTCAACGTCTGTATCGCCCACCCCTAGTTAATATACAGTGCTAATGCAGATCTCATTGGATTTTGTTAGAAGTATGCATGCAATAAAAATTGATGATTCCTTCGCATGCCACCATAGAGTTTTGCCTAATCATTGTGCCCACTGTCAGCAGTTGTAGATCACTGATATTAATTAATGGGAATATTTAATTACAAAAAACTACAGTAGATCCCACATTTACTGTACATAACACTCCCCTTCAGTGAATGTACAGTGTTTACAGAAAAAAGTATTAACACTGACAGCCAGAGTGATTTACAGCAGCACAGAGCACACCAATTTGCGAACTGAGATAACGGAATCTAACAAACTACTGTATGTTCAATGGATGTTACTTGCGGTCTTGTTCAGTGATTGTGTTTATTGAGATTGACAAAACAAAAATTCTAGTGAAACATAAAAACAAACTGGGGAAACAACAAATACCATAAAACTGGACATTAAACAGATTTAATAACATCTAGAGCAAATTAAGAGGGTATGATTGCAAGAATTGGGTGAAATAATCACAAACAACATTAGGAGATTGTTGGGGGAGGGAAGGGGAGTCGTTATTTGAGGTTGCCTGGGATCCTTACCAAGATAGAACTGTTAAGGCTGGAATGGCCATTAGCAGGGGACTGTCTGGAGGTGGAGGGGGATTCTTTCTGTAATAAGATATAAAGGTCAGCGAAACAGCAGAGCAAACGGACACTAGACCAACACTGCGGTAAGAAATTGGGGAAATCATGTAAGGGAAACCAAAAGATTTGCTTGAGATGAAAATTATTAAATGGACATTTTTAAAGCATAGTGAGGTTACTGTCGCAAAAGGAAACATGTTGTGAATGTAATTTTCAGCTTCCCACCAGAGGGGGAGCCAACACAACTTGGTGTAAACATCTTCCCTGAGAGATTTAAAGTAAAATCTGACCTCTTTAATGCCAACATGTATTTCGAAATGAGGAATCATTTGATATGGAAGGGGAGTTTTGTGAGAAATATTCATCTGTACGCAATACGGTACAGATTAACTTTATAAATTGTGAATAATGCTGCAGCACTGTTCACATTTGTACAAAATTTATAATATGTAAGGGAGGGTTCCGGTATCTTGGTTGTGAAATTGGTGTGCGGTAGTGTCTGATCCGGGCCTTTTGGTCCGGCAGGATGGAGGCTTTTGGGAAGAAAAGCGTTAACACGCAGCCATCAGGCAGGCAGTTAGTCACACAAGAGTCCACAGCAATCAAAGCCCACCACACAAGGCCACGACAGGCCTGGGCGGCCGGCAAACCACAGCACTGCGGAGAGAGTAGGACTGACAGAGACACAGAGCAGAAGACAGTGCAAAGGCCACAGAGGCCATTACCTCACAGGACGTCTGGTGCGTGCGGTAGCTGGGCACAATCTTAAAGGTGATGCTGCCTCTCATTTCTCGCTGTCAATAGAGAAACAAAAAGGAAATTATTAAAAAAAGGTACATTTTACTGGATTATGTCTGGACTATGGTGGTAAAGTGTAATTCTTGTTTAAGAGACTCAAATGAAAATGTGTCATGATTTCATCCACTCATCCTCATGTTGTTCCAAATCCATTTGATTTTCTTACTTCCAAAGAAAACAAATGGAAAAAAAGTAGACAATACAAACAGTAGCTTTGTGTAAAGCAGCATTCAGATCGACAGGATTCCTAGACTGCTCTCTACTCACTGAGCATGTAATATCTGTTGAAGTTCACTTCACTTGTTCATTTGGAACACCCTGCGATTTCATCAAACAGATAACACTTAAAGGAGAACTCCGGTCAATTTTAACATTGAGCTCATTTTTTTGTACATTTGGAGTGCTGTCAGTACAGACAAAAACGACAAAAATCGGTGTTGCCTACACCCTATTGACTTCAATGGGGCATGTTCTAAACCTGCTTTTAGCCTCTAAAAGTAAATACAGGAAGTAAATACAGGAATGTGCGCTGGCTGAATTAACATCATTTTTATTATTATCTTTCACATCTACTGCAGTCAGATTGACCGTGGTCACTCTTAATAACACCACTCACATGGCTGTGCACTCATAATGACAAATCAAAGATGTTAAGAGGGTAAAAGCAGGTTTAGGCCCCGTCCACACTACTGCGTTTTCGTTTAAAAACGGAGACCTTTTGCTACGTTTGCACCTCCCGTCCAGACTAAAACGGGAAAAACGAAGACCTAAAACGGAGAAGTTTAGAAACGCTGCAGCTGCGTTTTGCGTTTTGAATCTCCGGAGGGCGTTTTAGTGTGGACGAGACAAAACTTCAGAAACGGAGAACTTCAGATTGGGTGTTATCAGTCATGACGTTTCCTTCCCTGATTCGTCATTCACTGTTTACACCGGCACGCGCATGTCCAGTGTTGACGAATGGTCACGTGATCCGCGTTTTCAGTCGTTTTAATGTGGACGGAGATCGTTTCTAATACGCAGATAAAACGCTGGTGTGGACGGAGATCGTATTCGTTTTAATTCTCCGTTTTTAAACGAAAACGCAGTAGTGTGGACGGGGCATTAGAACATGCCCCATTGAAGTCAACAGGGTGCGAATTTTAAAAAGAGGATGACACGGCGTAGGCAACACCGATTTTTGTCGTTTTTGTCTGTACTGACAGCACTCCAAATGTACAAAAAAATGAGCTCCATGTTAAAATTGACCGGAGTTCTTCTTTAAGTAACAAATTAGAGGAGTTTAAAGTCACCATGAAATAAAAATGTATAATTCTTATTTTTTTTTATGGAATATTGCAGTGTTTATTATTATATGTAAATAATTGAACTTAATCTTAAATGGTGCTAACTTTTTTTCTAAAATGAATCCCTTTTTTAATGCCGGTGTGTGAAGGCGGAACAAGCAACCTGTCTCACACATGGGATTGGAGCAATAGCAAATGACAATGATCCAATCAATTTGTGATGGACACAATCAAGCCGAGCCCTATATTTTGTCCTCAATTGAAAAGCCATTTAACTTGCATGAAAGGCTCAATACGGAAGAAAAGATGCTCGCAACTTCCGTTTCATGACGATTTTAAATTATGATGACATAAAAAATAAATATAAATAAGCATAAATAAATATAAATTACCATATATTTGTGTAATAGACGTGACATCCATGTGTATTTAAGTAAATACCTTTATCATTTAACTTGTTAATATACATTTTTTATATTTCATATTTGAATGTTCATTTGTTACAATGTTTAATATGAAAAGGAAAGCAATTTGGTTAAATTGGAAGTGTATTATTATCTCATTTAACCTGTGAAGTCTACTTTGCAGGACACTTACAGTCGAATGGACCACCTTTAGAAAAAGAACTAAATCTACTGTAAGTCATCAGTGGTTGAGGTCTGGCAGTCTGGACATTTTGCTAATAACTCCATTTGTGTTCCATGAAAAAAAAAAACCCATCATAGTTCAAACAACATGAGTGTGAGTAATTGGTAACAATTTAAATGTTTCGGTAAACTATTTCTTTAAAGAAACCCACAGCTTAAAAAAGGTTGTTCCCACTCACAAGCATCTTCTGAAGCTGCTCCACCGTTTGATTTGCTACGCTTATGCCGTTGATCTCTCTGATCTCGTCTCCAATGTGTAAAGTTCCTGATTTGTGACAAAGTGACACATTGCATGTGTTAATAAATGGCGGTAGTATTACAGTCACATCATAATTTGATATCTATCATGAGATTGTCCTGCTTGATGACGACATGTGTTTGTTTGGCAAGTGGGTAAGGCCTGTACGTCAGCGTTACATACTCTCAAGCTTGTTGTGCAGAAATGTGTGTTGAGGGGTCTGTTTTGAAGCAGCATGGATTACATTACAAGTTTTTATGCAAATATAAAAATATAGGAGTAGCTGCAGTGTATGTAGCAGTATGGGGTGAATTTTTAAAGACTAACAGGGTTTAAGGGGGATTTGTTCTGGTGAATGTACCTTGTCTGTGGATCATTCCTCCATGCATTATTCTTGCCACAATGCAATGGTTCAGGTCGTTCATTTTCAACGTGATGCCCTGAAACAGAGCCCACAAACTTATTTGAAGCCACGTTGATGAGAACATCAAGCTTTCAGGAAGTTTGACTAACATGTGGATATAAATTTTGTAACCACTGTGAGGACTTTATCAACAACACCATCAGCTCAGGGTGGTGAAATGCATGCAGAATCTCACAACACAGGATATTTAATGTGCAAAGCTAGCGTTTGCACACTTAGAAAGCGGAGGGATCAAAACCTCTAAAGTTTAAAGAGTAGCTAACTATATGAGAAACAGTTCCAAGTTCATGCCTTGTCTTTAGGTTTATATACTGTATGTGTACATTTAAGTTAAGCATTCATACCATTGGTTCGTCTGTGTTCTTCTGGAACTGAACAAGGCGCACCCGTGTGACATTCTCTATGTCCATGTCTCCGTTCGTGCTTTCGGGTGAGTCTCCGTTGAGGTATGGTGATGTAGGTGGTGGAGTGACCCTCAGTGCCTCGTCACTGTACACCTCATGTGCCACAACATCATGAGTCTGAAGTAAGGCCTTGAAAGAAAGATAATAGATAATAGAGAGAGATATATGACACCAACACAAACAACAAAATCTCATAGACTTATACTGGAGGTATATTCAGCGTGAGAGTTGCACAATTGGCACTGTTCTCATGCTCTAACACCACTAGTCCATTTTGTCACGCAGTTAAAAAACATCAAGAGACTTCTTTGGACAAAATCTTTTTTTTCTAGATTTTTTTTTTCAAAGAAGTCTCTTGTTCTCAACCAGGCTGTATTTATTTGATCAAAAATACAGTAAAAACAGTAATATTTTGAAATATTATTGAGAGCTTGGAGCCAGAAGGGCAAACTTTACAGGAGAGAAATCAAAATTGACCACGCTTCAATCACCTGTGTTATTAACCTTAAACCACAAACATTGCAACCACAGGCATACTTACATGAAATTAGTATTTAAATAAAAAATGTATGGCATATTAACACAATGAACATGTACTAAAACATTTTCAAAAAAAAAACAAAAATTCAAATACGTTAGATACAACTTTTTGTTGCTTTATTCAATAGACTTTGATCTCAGATAGGTATTTTGGCACCATTGGATAGAGCTCATTGAGACCTTTATTTTGATACAACAAACTCATATTCGCCCAAAATGCCACTTACTCTGGCTCCAAGTCCTCGTTATTACAATTTAAGATAAAATGTAAGTTATTCCTGTGATGGCAAAGCTGATTTTTCAGCCGCCTTTACTCCAGTCTTCAGTGTCACACTGATCCTTCAGAAATCATTCTAATATGATGATTTTCTGCTAAAAGAAAAACATTTCTTCTTATTATTATTGTTGAAAACAGTTCTACTGCTCAATATTCTTGTGGAAACCATAATAACAGATTAGATTAGACTATAATATTTTTTTAGATAAATGTAAAAGTCACATTACAGTCACATTTGATCAATTTATTGTATTCATTTTGTAAAAAAAAAAAAAAAAATCTTACAGACCCTGCATGTTTGAACAGTAATGTACAAATCTAGTTAATTTTAGCCTTACTAAAAGTGTGCAGAGCATAAGCAAATTAATTAATAATAATAAGCACCACAAAGACTTTTCTTGTCAGCTCATCTGAATACCATCTTGTGGGGAAATATGAGAGTGTGATAAAAGTATAGAAGGTCATGTTGGAATTCTACAGCTAGTACCTGATGGTGCCTCCCTCCTCTCTTGCATTTTATCTCTTTTCTGAACCCCCGCGCACACTCTGGATCCTGCTGACGGTGTTGGTAATCACCTAAGTATTGCTTTTTTCATGCAAAAGCTCTTTTTGACTTTTGAAAGCAACCGTTCCCTTTCTTTATCTCAGTTCTGTACTAAATCCCCAGTTCAAGTGGAAGTAAAAACATTGTAAAAAGCCCCCAAATAAGTCCCTTGCAGCCTGGATTATGCCAGATTAATTTAATCAATCTCGCTCAGTGTTCCATGACACATCACTTACTGTATCTCACACACTTTGAAGAATCAGATTTTCCTATACCTTTTTACTTTTAATCTCACCAACAATTCTCACCCTCACTATCACCCCTGATTGAAAGGTAAACCTGTATTGAACTGGGGAGGACTATTTCACTTCTAAGTGTTGCAACATGTTTTCTGTGTAAAAAGTGGAGGAATCTTTAATCAGTGAAACCCTCACAAACAGCTGGTTTGAAGGGCAAAGGGCGAACTCTCTGCTTCATCTGTCATAAGGTTGTTTGTCCAGCTGATAATAATGCTCTGAATACAACTGACGAATATCTCATTGATTATAGAAGAATTTTACAGACAAGGATTGCAAAGACTGAGATGGTGAAATAAGTCTGCTGACAACATCCCGAATAAACAGATCTACCTCATAAAGACTAAGTACAAGCTCGAATTAATCTCTCATAGATAGTTTTGTTGACTGAAATTTAAGCAAATTTGAAGACTCCACTTTCGCTGTTTTACTACACTTCGTGATGTTAGCAGTGCTCTCTAACGCTAAGATTATAATAAGGATAGCATTGAGATCCTTAAAGTCAATATGAAATGACATACACAAACCATTTTACTTTCATCATAGTGCAATGTGCACTGCAATTAAAAAGTTTTGGGTCAGATTTGTTAATGTTTTTGAAAGAAGCCACATAAGCTCTCTCACAGTAATACTGTGAAATGTTGCAATTTAAATATCTATTTTTTCTATTTTAATTTATATTAAAATTTTCTTTTATATTTTAATTTTTTTTTAGCATCATTACTCCAGCCTTCTAGTCACATGATCCTTCAGAAATCAATATAATAAGCTGATTTGGTGATAAAAAAAACTCTTATTATTAACATTGTTGAAAACAGTCCTGCTGCTTAATATTTTGGTGGACACTGTGTGACATATTTTTCAGGATTCTTTGATGAATGAAAAGCTAAGAAAAACAGCATTTACTGTCCTTTTTTGTCAATTAAATGTGTCCTTGGTGAATAAAAGTATTAGTTTCTAGGGATAATTACTAAATATATATGTGGCTATTGGCTACCATTATCCAACAGTTCACACAGCCTAACTGACATTAGGAAGAGGAAGGTTACATGTTGATTAAATATATATTAAAAAAAAAAACCTGATAATTAATTTATAACAAGACCAGAACGTGCATTAAGGAAAGTAAATAGGGTTATGCAATTTTAATTTAATATTGACTTGTTAAGGTGTTTTTGTATGGAGATTATCAAAAGAATTTGAGCTGTGTTGCTGTGACTCACCATGAAATGGGGCTGGGACAGGATCCGTCTCAGTTCTTTAGCGTCTGCATTCTCCGGGTAGCATGAAATCTCCTCCAGTACCTACAGACAGACAGAGTAATCAGGCTTTACCTCAGGCTGTCATCTCCACGCTAGGTATATCTTTTGAGGTGAGTAAAGATGCTATATCTGACATAGGCTTTTTAATCTCATATACTGCAACACAACTTTGAGCTGGACTGCTGAGACCCCACACACCATCAGAACAGACACACACACATCCACACAAAAATTTCTGGAATGACCCTTAAACCCCATGTGACCAATCAGCACTGCTGTCTGGACTCATTTCGCCCTTCTATTGGCGGGGTGGGTCGGGTCAGGTGGGAAGGGGGTGATTTGGCACAGTACTGCAGATATGTCACAACTCCCCGCTGAATGCTTCTGAGCGCCGGAACCTGAACGTCTTTTGAAACCACACTAATCATCTGTAATGAGCTCCAATCAATGTTTAAAGCCATCTGGCAGCCCCTCACTGCCAGTCAACATCACTAAATGTAAAGCTCAGACATTTACAAGAATCCGTGTAGCTAGAAATCTCCACATGTTCTACAAAAGTGGTAAAAAGAAGTGGACATATGATTGGGAAAATGTCTGCAGCTTACATATTCCAGATGTTTCAAAGCCGCGCTCGACCCGTCTTCAGCGGAGGTCTTAGCATGAGAGACACACACAGGAGAGTTTTATAACATTTGATACATATATTCTGTGTAATAAGAAGCAGAGTCGAAGGCTGAATTTTGGAGGTAGGCATTTCGCCGTCTCCGCAAGATTCAGTCGCTCGGGAAAACAGTGAGAGGTGATGGGTTAGTTTCCGCCCCGCTGGCTCTAAGCAATACAAAGAGGATAATCCTTAAGCATTTCACCACTGCCAGTGATCACAAGCAAGAGGCCTAGGAGGGTTATTCAAGAGCACAGCTCTTTAATCACAAGCCAGCCCGAGTTCCTTTTTGATGTGCAATGCTAAAGGAAGTTGTTGAGCTTTATAGGTTGTGTGACTTGTGTCTGAGAAGAAGGGACTGGTTTTAGAGGAGTCAACACTAAGAGAACCACTGAGGGAGGCCATCAATCTATAGATTAAGACCAGAAGCAACCATTGAGACTAGTTTGAAACTAACTATTTTTATCTTAGAGAATGCAGATGGTTTTAACTATCCAAACTAAGATTCCTTTAATCTCTTTATGGGACTGTTTAAATACTTCTGTTTGATCAAGGTCATTAAATATCATTAAGTTAGGATTCGTTGACATTTAAAGAAAGCTACAGTTGACGCAATTAATATATGATAACTGAATGGGGGAGCGCTCCCCTCCTAAAACAGCAGTTTAAAGTCGAGATGTAATGGAAGCATGTTTAAGCTAACTAAATGATTTGAGAAGTCTGACATACATCACCAGAGAGAAGTCTTTTCACTGGATCATTTAATACAAAATAAATTTAAAAATAAGAAAATTTCATACGTACGTACATAGATGAATCATTGATAATAAGATCAATAGGGCCGCCCCCTAATAGTCGGCTACACGTTAGTCTTACTCGACCAAATTTTAATTCGTTTGTTAGTCACAGAAAAAAAAAAACTCTACAGGAAGTGATGAAGTCCATGACGGATAGATCATTAACACGCTGGTCCATGTGGTGATTAATTATGGCAGGAAATCCAAATGTTTGCCTTTCATTCATCACCTTCAAATATGGACTGTCATTTACAACATGTAAGTAGCAGCCTAATGTTAGCCACCTTACATGGCCGCTCACTCTAATATTATCTCTCTGTCTCCTTTCCACCAGTAAGCTGGTGGGTGTTCTGGTGCAATATGGCTGCCGTGAGATCATCCAGGTGGATGCTGCACATTGGTAGTGGTTGAGATTCACACTTCCATAGTGCTTTGAGTACCAAGAAAAGCGCTATATAAATGTAACAAATTATTTTTATTATATTATTTATCCTAGATAAATGTGCGCATATCCAAGTATTCATGTGGAAATTACTTTTCCTGATAACAGCGAAACTAACTTAAAATAGACTAATACATAATTTGAAACTGTGTCTACTTTTATTTGTGTGCACTCACAATAACAACAACACTCAAGCTTTTGAAAAAAAAAAAAGAACAAAAGTGGATGCACTTTCTGCAATCTCTGTCTCTGTGTACGTCTTTTTGGAGCGTGCCACAAAAATGATCCGATACCAATACTCAAACAAGCATATACACGCCTCAAAGACATTTACTACATGTCTGAAATGACTACTTTTAAATTAACCAATTCAAATTTGAAGACAAATATTCTCTGACTACGTAATCCGTATGAAATGTCAAATTCATCTTTGCAGCCGACACTGACTCAGAAAACACTATTTACCTATAAATGATTCAGCAAGTCTCCTTGCTGTTTTTTTTCTTACAAATGTATAATCATTACTTTTCCTGTGCACTGTGGCAAATGATAAGCCTGCCCTTGAATGCTAATTTATAATTTAAAGTAATATTTAAGTAATTAATTTAATATCAAAAACGTGCGACTATTCAACAATGCGCTTAAATGAACGACTACTAGTCGACTAGAAAAATATTTATTCTGGGGGCAGCCCTAAAAATCAATAACATGCATTTACCAAATAGATGGAGTGAATTTAAATGAGGATGTAAAGAAATCCATCATCATTTCCTATTATTCCTAAAAAATGTATTACATTGAATTAAATTAATTAAATTGTTACATTAACTTTTGCTACATTTTAGACTGCATTACCTTCACTTTTGGTTATCATTACCTTTCCTGCCGACCTGTCCTCATTAACATCAGCTCTTTATAAGAAATACTGTATCAAAGTATATTATGTCTTTAGAGCCAGCAAGGGATTTTTTTTTAGAATGCTCGTAAATTTACTGGATATTGTGGTTAATGGATAGTTAAACTTCATTTAGTGTGTTAATGAGAAAATAGAAACATTAGAATAACTATTCACTGTCTATTTGTGTTAATTGTGAAGATTTTAACAATTTCTGTGCAAATGAAGAGAGCAAACGCTTCAGCCAACAGTGAGGAAAGCACACAGACAGTCACACATCAAACATACAGCCCGATAAGATCACCAAGCAAAATGCATTTCCACTTTCACAAATTTACTCTCAGGTAAATTGAGAAGGGTCATGTCAGTCTGTGTGATCTCAATGCTAATCTTCTACACTTACATATCAATGGCAATAAAGAGAGCTGCTTTGTCCAAATCCACACAGTCATTATTCTATATTTTTTTTCTAGTCTACTCCTTAGGTAAAAGCAAGCAAACATATTGACTTGTTAATGTGGATTTTTGACTGCATTCTAATTCACCAGGAAGAAAACAGGCATGTGCTCACACAAGCAATAGACCACTAGGGATCTGTAAATGTCACATAGCTAAATCACACACTAATATTAAAGATTCTAGGAGGCATATGAAGTACAAAACAGGCTTCTGGTTGAGGTCGTCCTTTTAAACTATATAAAATTAAATGAATGTCTGTCACATGGTGCTTTCAAAATAACAGATTTGAACAAACACGGTATAAAATTACTAAAACGGATTTGCTATTTGAAAAGGTCAAATTTGTGCGATTTGTGATGACCTTCATCTGTAAAATACATTTTATTTAACAAAATGTACATGAAAAAAGTCATAATGTGTGTGTTTTCCCCATGTGATCAGCTTTCAGTTATATTACAATTTAGCTCACTTCTAGTGTTATAAATGAATTTTAAACAAGTCTGTCAGTCAACTAAGAAAAAAGCCACAGAGCAGAAGTGAAAAAACCATGACAGAAATATGCAGAGAGGAAATTCAGTTTCTAGGAAAGCCAAGGTGTGAGTAGATCATGCAGTGAGCCATTTCTGAATATCCTCATGAGCTGTATTAAAATGGAAATATAAACTAGACAGAATAGTTGATAAAAAGGAGGACAAACACATCAAATATTCTGATAAACAGAGTATTAAATATTTAAAGTTCAGTTTAAAAAAAAAAAAAAAAAAAACTTTTGCTGATAATTTACTCACCCCATGTCATCCAAGATGTCCATGTCATTATTTCTTCAGTCGAAAAGAAATTGAGGTTTTTGATGAAAACATTCCAGCATTTTTCTCCATATAATGGACTTCAAGGTCCAAAAGACAGTTTGGTCCAAAAGACAGTTTCAGTGCAAACTGTTCAAAGGGCTTTAAACGATTCCAGACGATTAATAAGGGTCTTATCAAGCGAAACTATCGCTCATTAAAAAAAAAAAAAGTTTAAGTTTTATGCGCGTTCGTGACTCTCCTGTTCAAACTCGTTTATCAAAATGAATGAATCTTTTTTCGTGTCATTTGGTTCATTCAACGAACGAAATGAACGAATTGACTCGGAAAAAGATTCATTCATTTTGATGAATGAGTTCGAACAGGAGTGTCACGAACGTGCATCAAAGAACAGAGCAAGGTCACAATTTGAGCTTATAAAATTGAAAACTTTTTTTTTAAATGAGCGATCGCTTCACCCTCATTCATCATCTGAAATCATTTAGAGCCCTTTGCAGTTTGCAGTTTGCACTGAAACTGTCTTTTGGACCTTGAAACGTTTGGTTACCAGTAAAGTGCATTATATGTAGAAAAATCCTGGTATGTTTTCATCAAAAACCTTATTTTTTATTTCGACATGGACATCTTGGATGAAAAGGGGGTGAGTAACTACCCCTTTCGAATTAACACATTCAAATCATCTAAATATTATTCTAAGTCATTGAGTCACATTAACATACTTTCTTGTTGAAGATATTGAAAAGAGGCATTTAAACTGCATCTTTTCTGAAATGGACAGGTTGTGCATAAAAGTGAAAAAAAAGAGTCCTGACTCCAGATAGTTTTTTTTTAATCGAAAAACAAGAAAAAAAACTACAATGAAGGTAATTAACTTGTGCTAGAAAAGTATCTTTCCATTACTGTAGCCTGCACTCACCTCTTTGGCTCTCGATACTGCGTCACTTGCAGGATTCCTGATTTGCGGTGAAGACTTGGTGTTTATCTTGTCGTATAGCTGAAAAAGTGAAAATGGGCAGAGCAATAATCAGAAGACTCCTTGGCTCCTTTTGCTTTTTGAGTAAAGGAAAAACAATAAGAGGTTAACCCTCACCAGTGTTGTGCTTGACCACGTTCATATTTTGGGCAAATGTGAATTACTGCCTGATGAATGTTACTGTGAACTCGTTCATTCTGGTGTCTGTGAACGCACGCTCTCTCACTTTAACTTCGTTCAATAAGGTGCCAGATTTCTATAGCGCCTTCCAGGCGAAAACCCGGTTAAAACACCGTAAACAGGCCTTAAAAATGAAGCAAAAAAAACAACAAAAAAAACACCCAATCTGGCAACACCAGCCACCGTGAGTTTTATGACAAGGTCAGTGAGTATGGGAAAAATCGTACATTTCTGTGCAAACTTTGCCCGCCGATAAAATAATTGCTGTCTGTGGTTGTATATGGACTGTATATGGCAATAATAATAAAAAAATAGCTTGCAGCAACATTATGGGAAAAAAAGAATTATGAAAAAAAAGAATATGTTAGATTGTGAACTGAACTTTGAACTAGTTCATGTAGAAAGTGAACTTTCCCAACACTGACCCTCACATGCAATAACATTTCTCTGACATTGCTGCTTTTGTTTGGGGCATGCAAAATTTACATCACAACTGAGCAGCTCTATTGCATGTAACAGGCTACAGATTTTCCCAGCAAAATGTTAATTAAAAAAAATACGTTTAATTAAATACTTTTTAAAATGTATTCCAGTGATGAACAGCTGTAATTGCATTAACAGATGTTCTCCATGTCTCCAGAGTTCATCTGATTCAGCTGCAGTTTGCTGTGACGCACATGCAGTTTTAGCTGAGTTTAAGGGTAACAGCACATGTTGCAACACCTTTAACAAACAATTAAAATAAAAAATATCCCAGTTTACTCACCACAGCAAAAGAAAAAACAACCAAAACCGAAGTTAAACTCCAGACAAAGTTGGTCCTGATAGGATCTCAACCCCTCTGTCCTCTGTTTCATGAAGCTAGAGTTACACTCAGAGCTTGAATGGAGAGGATGGCAAAGTCTGGAGTAACTCTTCTGATACACAGATACTGCAGGAGCCACAACAGTAAAAAGCATGGAGGTTTGACAATAGGTGCTATTGTTTCCCTCCCTATTCAGGGTAGGAGTTGAGTTCTCAATGAGACGACATGCATTCACAGCCTACTGGTGATAATCTTACCCACAGAGCCCTCCTCTCTGCTTGCCTCTGGCCTGTGGCTATGGAGACAGACCCTATCATCCACACTGGGTTGTACCAAGCTGTACGCCTCTCTATAGAGACCTTGGTATACAGACGCACACAAATACAGAGACTGGGAAGAGAGTCCACAGCTGCACTCATTCACACTCACAAAAATGTGCATAATGCCATAATAAAAAAAAAAAAAAAAAAAAAAAAAAAAACAAGTGCATGTGTGTGTGTGCTTGCAATGAATGAACAAAGAACAACGCATGAACAAAGTCCACTGAGTTCTCAAATAAAACAAAACAACACAAACATTTTCTGTGGAAAGCTGAATGGGAAATTCTGAAATTGGTCTACTGACATTTATTGTCTGATCAGCTGTGGGAGCCAGACAAAAAAACAAACAAACTGAAAGTTAGTCCTGGCCAATTATTTCAAGTAAATTGATATCTGTAGCATGGATGGCTTTTTGTTTGGGTAGTGGAAGGGTATTAATCAAGATTGTAGGCTGTTAGCATTTTTAACCCCCAAAAAGCTACGGACTGCAGCTTTAACAGTGTTATTAAATTGCTGTAAAAAAAAAGAAAAAAAAAAGAAAGAAATCTAGCTAAAAATCTAGCACCCTGACATTCACAGAAATTGCACAAAGCCAATTAATCAAACTGGAACTGCAATCTCAATGAACTCAGTGAGACTAGGTTGTTGCTGACTCATCAAAAGCAAGCAAGAAAGAAGAAGAAAATCCTAATGAGACATTTACTTTAAAGTTCAAAGCAAGTTAATTGCACAAATATATAACAGCATCTTAACACAACCACTTCTATTGTATGGGGTGTGTATATGTGTATTTGACTGTATATTACAGCCTCTTACATCAAGCAATGTGTGGAGGTGATGGTCCTGGAAGACACTGTGTAGAAAGTCCAGGTCTTTCTCACTGCAGTCTGTCAGTGCATGGATCTCCTCCAAACTGTCCAGCACTTGTGACACAGCCCCTTTACATGTACACAAACACAAGTGAGGAAACACCATGACCTTCAGAAACCCAAAAAAAGCATGAACTTGATTTGAAAGAATCAAGACTTCATTAAGGGACAGACATTTAGACCTACTTTCTGCAGCTAGTAGTCCTGCAGGGAGGCCAGCATAGAAACAAGCAACAACATATTACTTTAACAATAAATTGTCATGTGGTTAAAGATAGAAGTCACCCACACTCTTAAGTGCACACATAAAACAATCAGTTAGAGAAGTTTGTGAATAACAACATACAAATGCACGTTCAATTGAAATTCCTAGTATATCTTAGGGGATTTGTTCAGAATCAGAACCCAAACGAAGATCATTTTAATAATATCGTAATAAAATCTTTCCATTGACAGCTATGCAACTACCACTTCCTAAAGTTCATAAAAGGTTAATAAAGTGATCATAAAACAAATCCAAATGAATTGAGTGGTCTAGTCCAAATTTTCTAAAGAAACAGAATCGTTTAATATGATGAACAGATTGAATCCAACCTTTTGTTCACATATAAACATTGATCATGGAACATAAACAGAAGCTCAACCGAACTTGCTTGATGCACAAGAATGAAACTCAGTGGAAGCTAAAATGTATTGTTTAACACACAAGAATGAATCTTATTGGTTCTTGCCGAAGCTCAAATGTGCTGAGTAAAACACACAATATGAACCTCATTGGTTCTTGCATGTCAAGCAAACATGCTTGAGCTTCCGTTGATCATAATGTATGCGTTTTGATGAATAATTACTGAGTCAAAGCTTAAAAGCAATCTGTTGAGCGTAGAAACTGAATGTGTCTTCGAAAATCTTTGACTAAACCACTCGATTCATGTGGACTAGTTTTACAAACTTATTAACTTTTTGTCTTACGGATTTGGAATGACATTAGGTTGAGTAATTAATGACAGAATTTTTGGGTGAACTAAACCTTTAAATTGCGTGTTAAGTGAAAAAAATGTAATGTAATCACAATTGGGGGCCATGAAAAAATGTAATCACAATTGGTATGATAAATAAACAGGAAATGTGGACCAGGCTGTAAACCAAATTATTTGTGGTCAATGTTGAGAAAAAGTGAAATTTACATTTAATTTACAGTGAGGTCTATAAGACATTTAAACAAGACAGGTTTCTGTGACTATTGTTAAAAAATAGAACATTTTAGTGCAAAAACTCACTGGCTTAATGCAAGGTCATTGTGGGTGGTTGTTAGGGTGTTGCTAAGCAGTTTCTAGAGCTATTTGTTTAATGGCTCAAGTCATAAGAGGGCACCCTAAATCTTCATGACATTTTTATCCCTCAACTCCTTCAACGTAACTCCATGAGATTTTTCTTTGTATAGGATTCACCTCTTCTCAACAGTCAATGTGATTTGAGGAACAATTTATGTCTAGCGGGATAGCTTACTGAGACTTAGAGATTTGTTCAAACCCTTAAATTGTGCGCAATAAGGACCATAATGCTTGTCTTAGCAAGTTACTTACAAGCTTAATTTCTTTCTCTCTGTCATGCAGATAACATCAAAGTAACCAAAACACCATGATAGGAGACTACAAGACCGATAATTCAGCAAAAAAACAAAACAAAAAAAAACCCAGTCCAGGAAGTGGGTTGGAGCTCATGTTGCACCTCTGCTGGTTGCTGTAGTACCTGATGAAGTAGGGTCTTCAGAGAAGTCAGGCAGTTCTTCAGGTGGGTCGCCATAGAAAGAGTTGAACTTGTGACTTGAGACCGCGGCGAGTACTGCACCCTGTCAAGCCGTACAGATATTGATTAACTCTGCATATTTGGCAACAACTGAATTTAGCGGACATTCCCCTCTAAACATGTATTTCCATCCCTTTACTTTCACAGTGCAATGCACATCCGGTAGTACAATGTGGTTGCCCTAATTACTATTTATTTGTGATATTTATATTACACTGAAGAACATGCACATGAATCATGCACAAGAGCAATTACTAAAACAATAAGCAAAGACTCTAAAGTGTCAACGTCTCACTTTTAGCTTCCTCCTTGCGTTGAACTTCCTCAGCTGCTCGACTGTTTCAAGAAGGTGGATTTTGTAGGCATAGCGGTCTCTCTCCTAACAGGAAATACACACACTTCAAATAGTGCTTCTTCATCTCATTAAAGAAGGGCAACTTAAGTCCATAAATTATCGCAGAAACATATGTAAATCTACATGAACACAAATACAAAAAACAAGTATAATAAAGCATATTAAGAAAACATAATGCTGAAAAACAATATATAATTAGTATAGAGCTGGTAAGTCCCGCCCATCTGTAAAACTCCAAGTGGACCTCTAAGTTGAAAAAGCGTCAATGCAAGTGAATGAGAGAAAATAATTATTTTCTGATCCCGTTTGAAATGTGCCATGAATGTACCATATGTTGTCTGTGAATTTTTTATATAATTTCTCATGTAACGAGTTTGACAGTATATTGTATGATTCTTTGGCTAGCAGTTGTGGAATAGACATAACGAGAAAGACTACACGTCGTATATGTGACGTCGCCGCATAACACATTTTCCCTCCACAAATCACGGTTTTCACCACGCTCAACTAGTTTGTCCTCTTCCTGAAAGAAGGCAGTGAAGTACACCAAAGACACAGGCATGTTTAGCGGGATCCGTGGGCTGGTTGATGTATATCAAACACGTCGAAAGAGTTGTAGTCCACAAAGTGCTCTCACACAAAGTCTAACCGTATGAAAATTATACCCGCTAAATTGTAGCATTCTTTACACGAAACATTATATAAAAAATTCACAGACAACATATTTTCACATTCATTGCAAAATTCAAACGGGATTAGAAAATAATTATTTTCTCTCATTCACTTGCATTGACGATTTATCAACCTAGAGGTCCAGCGGGGTTAGCTGAAGGGGCGGGACTTACCAGCTCTATAATGCATACGGTTTGTATGGTTTTAATAGCATTATTAATTTAAAACAGCAACAACAATAATAAAACTCTGTAAGATCAGTAAGCAGATATTTCTTGAGTTATGTTGATACCTTGAGCCAGGGGTGGTTGAGTGCTTCATACACTGTGATTCTCTCGGCAGGGTCCAGCATCAGCATACGGCGCACCAGGTCTTTGGCACTCTCTGAGATGTGGCCCCACTGCCGTGGGTTCATCTGCAAAGCACACACACACATACTGTAAATGGACAAACCCAGATCCTCTGAAACCACTTATCCACCATGTGATGGTGCCAGAATCAATGCTCAGATTCTGCCAACATGTTCACGGACAATAACGACACTTGATACTAATGGACTAAAGTGATTTTTGTGTAAAAAGTAACGGACTTCAGGTTTCTTACCTCATAATCTAAGCCCTTAAATAAATCAGTATATGTTGCTGCTTTTATTAGCCTGACTTATTTCCAGATATTTCCAGCATGTCTTGACGGACTATGCTATTAAACTACTACCTTGTATTTTCCTTTAATGATTGCTTCAAACAGGCGTTCTTTAGTGCCATAGAAGGGCAGGCAGCCACTCAGCAGGATGAAGAGAATGACACCACAGCCCCAAACATCCACAGGTTTCCCATAGGGTTCCCTTTTCACCACCTCAGGGGCCATGAAGTGCGGAGTGCCCACCCGGCCTACGGCACAGACAACATGTCCCGTGTGAGCATCCATTCAAATACATACAAAAGAGCTGTCGCTGATTCAAGATTTAAACAATCAAGCAGCACAATCATGCATAGACAGTCTCTCACTAACAGCAGTGACAAAGAAAATCATTAACTGAATGATTTGAAATGTATGACCCAATTTATGAAGTGACACTGAATTATGATGTCCTAAATGGTTTTGAATGATATTAAGGAACTAATATTTTAAAATGCTTTCAAGATCAGTTTCAGTTCTTCAAGCCAATATAATGAAAAGAGGATGTTATTTCTTTGTGTAGTTTGTGCTTCATTTAACTTAAATTACAGGCTTTTACATACGAATAATGCTGACGAGAAGCTTCTAAATGCTTCTAGTTTGCAGTGCAGGTAGTGTACACAGGAAATGTTCATGTGCTGTATGTTACAAGTTTAAACAGGGGTTTTCCAAGTACTGTACCTCCAGCCACTAATCCGGATTCCCCCAACTGAATAGCCACACCGAAGCCACCCAGTTTCACTGGAGCAGAGTTTTCCTTCGATGCCAGCAACACACAATGAGGCTGCAGTGAAAAAAGAAAGAAAAGACAAAAAAGATAGTTACTCTGTTGTACAAACTACACTGGAATTGACATTAAAAGTCAAGGGAAGTGAAGACTGAGTGATTTAAATATAACAATGAAGAAAGAAAGAAAATATTTATTTAAACAAAAAAGTATTGTTTCAAAAATTTGTTTTTTTGTGGATTTATTCCAGCAATCTACACATAAGGACGACTGCCACATACATTACATGTTGGATAGGTAATGGAGGGGGTTTGATAAAACACCAATATTTGTAAAATGGAATTTCCTGTTTGGTCAATTTGATGGAAAATAAAATGAAAATTTGAAAAAAAGTTAAGAATCATAATTTGTATGTTGTATTTTCATAAGTGGAACATTAGCCATGCGTGAAACAATGTAAAAAATAAGATAATATACCCCACAATGAATTATTTTAAAATGATTAAATATCATTTCAACATTGTTCAGCAAGCCTAATATATCTGATCTGGTGGTCACAAGATCTGTGGTGGAGCTGAAAGGTGGTTTCAGAGACACGCTCTTCCCCCTTTAAAAGCATCTGCACACTTTGTATAGTGTTAATGCTGACTGGTCCACAGCTGTGCTGTTCTGTAAGTTTACCAAGGAACTAAAAACGGAAGTTTGCAAAGACAGTTCTGAGAAGATATTAGGCAGAGGCATTTAACAGAATTATGGACAGAATTAACAAGGCAAGTTACTTTCCAATTACCTAGTACACATCAGACATTTAATTTAATGCAAACTTAAAAAATATCCTTATTTAGTGTTATTATGACACCTGTTCCTCTTTCTAGGATTTGATTATGCACATGCAAAGATGAGCAACAATCTTCAAAACTTTCCCAATGTGTCACCGACCAGCATGTCAAAAAATCCCCAGCAAGACTGCCAGATGGACAACTCCAGCTTGCGGGTTCTGCTGGCTATTTTGTACGCACTCTTCTTCCTGTTTGGGTTGGGTGGTAACCTGCTAGCTCTTTGGGTGTTTCTGCGAGTACATCCAAAGAAAAACTCTATTCGCATTTTTCTCATTAACTTGGCTCTGGCTGACTTACTTCTTGTGATATGCCTGCCTTTCCGAGTGGTGTACCATTCCAACCATGACCGGTGGGTGCTGCCGTCATTACTGTGCAGGACAGTGGGTAACATCTTTTACATGAACATGTACATTAGTATAGTGTTACTGGGCTTCATAAGTGTAGACCGTTACTTGAAGTTACAGAGGGTAACCTGCAGACGGGTGTTTCTGCAGAGCCGGTGGAGTGCTCTTCTCTGCTGTGTCATCTGGATTGTGTCACTTGCTGCAATAACGCCACTTATTGTCCAGACTCCAGAGAATGTTGAACCCCAACAGTGCTTCCAATATAAAAATCTGCAAAACTCCAAATGGAAAGCCTATTTCAACTTTGCCGTCGTGGGTATATTTTGGGTGGTCTATGGTGCGTTGGTAATCTGCTATGGAAGGATTGGAATGAAGCTCCTTACAACCTCCAGAAAGAAACCAGATTTCCCAAACGCAGCCAAGTATAACAAAACAGCATGGAAATCCTTCTTCGTGCTCCTCCTCTTCACAATATGTTTTGTGCCCTACCACTCAGTGAGGATTTTCTATATTATGTCACAGATGGAAACTGGCATATCTTGCGACAGGATAAATGTGTTGGATAAAACCAATGAAGTAGTTCTACTACTATCTGCACTTAATAGCTGTTTGGATCCAGTTATGTACTTTTTGTTGTGTAGTTCTGTTCGCAAAGTGATGCTGAAAATCATCTGTAATTGCTTCTGTCAGCAAATCACCAGAGGACAGATCAGTTCTAGTGACTCTCCTAAAGAACGGTCAAAAATCAGTGTAGTTGTGCCTAGGACAGACACCCAGGAGGTCAAAACATCAAGTCTGAGGTTCAATGAGAGTTCTTCAAACATATGAACCATGTCCAAAAGCACAACAAAGTTAAATGAAACATAGTTATATGTTGTGAACAGTGTAAAGTGTATTTCCTTTTGTTAACCATCAAAAACACCATTTTAAAAAAAATAATAAAATACAGTTATTTTAATGTGTTTTACAAAAAAAGATCAAACAAAAGTAGTTACACTTTACAACAAGGTTCAATAATTTAACATTGTTTATTGCATCATTAACTAACAAAGAACACATTTTGAAAGCATGTATTTATCTAGGTTAGTTAAATAATAATAAAAGTGTAACTAAATTGAAAATATTGTTTAAGTGAACTATTGTTTGTTGTTAATTCATTTTTGTTCATTATACATGAATATCTATTTTTTCATACATTATACATTATTAATATATGTGAATGAAATGATTAGCGGATTTAACTCACCCTCCCCGCCCCAGAGCTAGGTCATCTTACATTTCAAACAGTTGGTGACAAACATTAAGCAAAGGCAACAACTCTACTATATTATGTAGACAACAGGACGTCGTTAGAATGGCCTTAGAAATCAAGATTTCAGGGCAAAAAATGCTTTTGTATGATTTTTTGTCTCAAATTTAAATAATATAATAAGCCAATAAACCGTTACGCAATATCAGTGATGAGAGCAATATCACACGAGTGCTGTTTTTGTCTCAAATAACAATAGTGAAAATGTGATATTGATTTTATTCACCAATTCAATAAATACAAAGTTAATATTGTGATATTTTAGACAGAATATTGTCTGTTTTTGCTCAATTTTGCCAATGAAAATATTACCTAAAAAGGCAGAGCAGAACTGTTGTGCACATCCGAACAACACACAGCAGTGTTTAGTTTCTGAACGAATCTGTGTTTTGAGCAAATCATTCAGGTGAAGCAGATTTAGTGACCCCTTCATAAAGAGAGCCATTTTACGTCATTCATGAATTCGCCGTTTAGACGAATAGAATGAATGACTCAATCACTTACTTATTTAGGCATTTACCTGTCAGTTTTACTTTCTTATTTAGAGTTTCACTTCATGAAAAAAAAACTATTCATTTTAATTCTGTTTATTAAAGGAGCTGTATGTAAGATTGTGGCCAAAACTGGTACTGCAATCACTTTCAAATGACTGTAGAGCGGTGCATCCCCTCCCCCTCCTCCCTGACTCGAGGTTGCCAGATCAGCTGCAGGATCCAGCAACACTATAACTAGAGTATATAGTGGTAACTAGAGCAGAGCTGGCAACCCGGATGGCACAACACTACTGACTTCCTGATTGGTAGATAGGGGGAGGGTGGAGCATCAGACCAAAACACAACATGACAACATCAACATCAGTTGAGGTCTGCAACTTCACTTTTTAAATGACAATATCCTAGCCGGACAACTGTTGTCAGTGATATAAGTATTTCAAATGAACATGATTTCTTAATGTCTAGTGACATATCAGGGCCATTTTATGATTAATTGAAATCAATTTCTTACATACAGCTCCTTTAACATTTACACACTTGTGTCATTTCAAAACTGTGTTTTTCTTTCTTTTGCGGAACATAAATGAAGATATTTTGAAGAATGGTGGTAATCAAACTGCTTCGATCTGTAATTTATCTTAATACCAATTCAGATGCAGCTTTTGAAAAAAACATAGCCATTTAAGCCTAAAAATGTGTGTAATAAATTGTTGAATCAAATAAAACATGTTTCTAAAGCTACTTTTTGTAATATCTGTTTGATGCTTCGCGTCGGGGTCCTGATCACCCTGTCTGGGTTTATTCTGAGATAACAACCAGCTAGATGCACTTGCAACCGGACGAGTCCACGATACTGGAAGACATAATTAAATAACTGCATAAAAAATTGATTTGACTAAATTTTTATATTTTATTAGCTCACCAAATGCAAAACTTAACAAATAAGTGCTGCTGACTTTCATTAACAGAATGAGCCTGTGTTATTTGTTTTCTACGGTAGTCGTCGAGGAATAACATACGGCTGGATGGTGCGATTGACCAATCAGAATCAAGTATTCCACAGAGCCGTGTAATAAAGTTAGTTGATACCTAATGCATCAATTAAGGTTTAAGGCCCTTGCATACTGAGTCGGAAATTCACGTCCGAAATTTTCGCACGTTAAAAAATAAATTCGACCCCACGTTATGTCAATGTCGCTTGCACACTGCCTCCGAAACTTTCGTCCATCATAAAAAAATTTAATCAGGTTTGACTTTCTGCGTTTTTCGCATCCGTAGCAAGCAGTTTGAATGATGTTTGAATGGTGTTTGACAATTCAGAACCACCGAATCACAAATACGAAAAAACACACACGAAAATTTCGGACTCAGTGTGTAACAATAAACACTTATTGTAAAGTGTTAGATAATATGTCTAAACTCATGTGAATACATACTTAATAATACTAGTTATTAATACAATACTAGTTACCATACATGCAAAAACATATTTTATGTACTGTAATAACAGCTGGGATCATTTGATAACTGCATCCACTTTGTATTGTCACGAACTGCTCCGAGACATGAAAGTTGAGGATCCAAATGCACTTTTATTGAAAGGGTAATTCACAATCGTAATCGAAAAAAGGCAAAGGTCATAAACACAACGTAATCAGTCCAGACAATAATAAACACAACAACAAGGCAGGGAACACGGGCAAAAGAGTAATTCACGGAACAGGCAAGAAATCCAAAAACCAAGAGATATGAAACCAGGGAGAATGCTCGGAATTGCTAAACTAAAACAGCAAACAAAACCTTGCAGCTAATGAATGAGAAAACCAGGCTTATATGGGGTGAGCTAAACAAGATAATGAGACACAGGTGAATGTGTTAATGGATGAAGAGTCAGGGCAGTGAGTTATGGGACTTGGGAGATGTAGTTATTGAGGGAATGACAATTGTCTGATGTGGAGTGCCCTCTGATGGCACTAGAATGGCAATAGAATAGTAATTCAATAAAAATGTTGTATATATATGAAGAGTTCAGATGCAAAAGCCTCTAAATGCCATTTGAAATTTTCTTCTTTAATGATGATTTTTGTCGAACTTGTATATTTAAGTTCAGTAATTTCACTTAAATAGCAATTAATAGGTAATTATCATTGCCATTTAAGTGAAATCACTGAACTTAAATATACAAGCTTGACAAAAATCATCATTAAAGAAGAAAATTTCGAATGGCATTTAGAGGCTTTTGCATCTGAACTCTTCATATATATATATATATATATATATATATATATATATATATATATATAAATAATGTTAACCTGATAAAATAGACCATATCATAGACCATATCATGAGAAATGCATGAGGGGTTTAACATGCAGAAAGAGTAGCACAGATCTTTGGGTGCCCCTTAGTGGTAAAACACTGAGAAAAGCATAATAAAAAAGGGAGGGAAGGACTTCAAAAATGGCTTATATGTCACTACAAAGGGGTTATGAACTGTGAACAGAAAAACAATGAAATGCTTGCACAAAAAAAGACTGATAGGTTCTGTCACATGGTCTTATTGCAGTTATTTATTAATATTAATTATATGGTTAAAAATTATACGATTATAAGACAGATGAATAGGAAAAAACTTGACTTTTGGTGCAAACTGTGCCACAAACGATCTGCTTCCAGGATGTGGTCTGAAGAGAAGCTACAGAGTTCCTATATGTGAAGCACATTTGAAGAGCACACCCCAGCCACAAACAAGCTTACGGTGCACAAGATTCTACGGGTAAAACATTATGAACATAAGTATCGGACAATAGATAAGCATCATGTCTATGCAAGGTGGCATAGCAATCTATCCCTCGGGAGTCAATGATTCAGACAACAATCAAAGGTACTGTATTGATTTGCATCATTTCTCAATGGAGAGGTTAAAACTCCAGTCTGAACAATAATAATCTAATTTTTACTTCTTCAGAGTATGTCTGTTGTGGGTTTGTAGGTTAGTTAGTGTATTCCCAACCGCAATGTTTCACAAACTCAAGCACACAGCTGGTCAGCAGTTTGAATAACATTCAACAACATGGACAACATTTTTAGTTATTGATCACTAAGAGTAAAAAAAGTATTATGACTCTAAACTCGATGAACAGAATAAGCAACAAGAATAAATCAATATCATTAATTTAAAAACTAAAGCTTTGTTATTTAAATGTACTTACACAGGGAAAGCAAATGGCCTTTTGTTTTACAAGTGCTTGTGCTACAGTACATTTAAAACAATTAACTTCAATTGTCCAGGTAGACAGCAAATCATTGTTGGTACCGAAAATTTGAAATGCCAGAATTTTTATTGGTATTATATTAATATTTTCATTGATAAGGGAGTACCAAATCCAGTGACATGGAATTTGACAGTGACAGAGCTATTTTGTAATCATTTTAACCAGCTGGCCATAAGATTATTTTAGTGCAAGACTGCTGAAATCACTGCTGGGTTTTGTGATGAAGAGACAATGAATGTATACATGGAAAAATACACACGCATGCGCACACACACACACACACACACACACACACACACACACACACACACGCACGCACACACACACACACACACACATATATATATATATATATATATATATATATATATATATTAGGGCTGCCAAACTATTAATCGCGATTAATCGCATCCAAAATAAAAGTTTGTGTTTACATAATATATGTGGGTGCACTGTGCATAATTATTTTATATATATATATATATATATATATAATTATTTTGTATAAATATAAATACACACACATGCATGTATATTTAACAAAAAAAATATGATTTATATATAAAATATTTATATTTACATATCATATAAATTATATATAAATCTATATGAAAACATTTCTTAAATATATACAAGCATGTGTATGTATTTATATATATATAAAATAATTATACACAGTTCACCCACATATATTATGTAAACACAAACTTTAATTTTGGATGCGATTAATCGCGATTAATCGTTTGACAGCCCTATATATATATATACACATACACACACACACACACTCACATACTCATACATACATGCATACATATATATATATTCTAGACATTTGTGTGTGTGTGTGTGTGTGTGTGTGTGTGTAGTTTACATCATTTTGTCCCTGCCTATCAAATATTGCACTGCAAATATCAATAACAGCTATAAATTGTCAGTGGTATAAGCGGCATAATCCATAGTTAGCACTTTGCATCGGGTGGTTCTTTACTAAATCGTTTAATGCACAGCTATAGCCAAAGATGGTCTCTTTATCAAAAGTTTGGAATCAATATATTTTTTTGAATGAATATATTTTGAATGTATATACACACGCAGTCTGACATGTTGAGTAAAAAGATAACTTAGCCACGTTGCTCATTTCCATCCAGAAATAAGAAGCTGTGAGTTCCCGGTTTTCATTTTCTTCCTCTCTTTATTTCCTTAGCACATGCAGGATACATCCTGAAGAAAGCAATGAAACCATCTTGCCTTGGCTCTATCTCTTTTTGGCTGTCCTGGGCCTTCCAACCAATGGAATAGTCTTGGTGGATCTTTGGAGATCAGAGAGGACACCCACTGCCATCTTCACTTTGAATATAATTGTGTCAGACCTGCTGATTTGCTGCAGTTTTTTCTTCAGGATAGCCTACTACAAAGAGAACATCAATTGGCTATCTGGATCTCCAGCCTGCAATGCAGTGGAAATGATAAATTTTTCTTGCTTCTACATTAACCTCTATTGCAACATGAGCTTTCTTTTGTGGACCAGCATCAATCGCTACGCCACGGTGGTGAAACCAGGCTACGCATTCTTTCGGATCTTTAAACGTACTCTGTCTAGTTGGATCCTCTGCTTTTCTACCTGGTTGATTATCACCACAGTCGTCAGCACGAGCATGGGACTTAAACTGAGTCTACAAATCAACGGGACCTGCTTTGACCAAGTTGTCAACAGTTACATTCTTTATCGAGATCAATTCAAAACTATACACTGTGTTGGCGTTTCAGCATTCTTCTCCATTTTGTGCCTGATGTTGGTCAGCTATAGCCTGCTGGTCTTCCATCTGCAGAAGGTGAGGGGAGCTAGATTTGGACCCGGAGGAACTCTAAAGGTTCGCAGAAAGATCCTGGCCTCAGTCATAATGTTTGTCCTATGCTTCCTACCCTACCATGTGCAAAGAATCATCTTATTAACATCAGATAATGAAAACTGTCAAGCAAAGTACAGGATAAAAACAAGCACCATCTTCATTGCAGCTCTTAGCTGTTGTCTGCATCCCATCCTTCAGCTGGTGTTTCGTTTGCGCTGCTGTCGGGCAAATCGCAACACCAGGGTCAAACCCAAACCTGAAGCCTCCAAGAGCCTGGAGACACCTCAGATACATACTATACATGTGACCGAAAACATTGAAGAACCGCAGAAAAATGGAACTTAATTAAGCCACGAACCAAAGAAAAATGAAACTGAATGAGGCCAGCAACCAACACAGTTCTGAAGAAATTGGTTGCAACTTTTGTATTTCCTGTGTGATGCATTCAGCAAACTGTGAAACACGCTAACCTCAGGGAGCTGTGTTATTACAACCTATACTAATGGACAAAACCAAACTTGCGGGCAATTCACATGGTACAATGGTGCAGAGTATACATACTAAAACATTCCTTGTTGGCTATGGTGGAGCAACCTTCTTGGTTTCAATGGCAACTAAACTTTTATTTCAGTAAGGCTGAAATTGTGTTTATATTCTGCATGTAATAAAGTCAGAATTGCGAGATATAAACATCCTTTGCAGGGAGTATGATTGACAGGCGATCTGACCAATCATAATCCGCCATTTTGTCCGACAAAGCAGTCAGGAGCGTTAGTCGATTAACAGTGGAGGATTTGAACTTGACGCTAGACTAAATGAGTTTATATCTTAAAATTGTGACTTTACAACATACAATTGTGACTTTATATCACGTAGTTCTGACTTTATAACTCGCAATTGTGACATTATATCACACAATTCTGACTTGCAATATGCAAAATGTCTGAAAAAAGTCAAAATTGTGAGATAAAAATGCACAACTACCTTTTTTATTGCTTGCGTATGCTTTTAAAAAAATATTTTTAGTAATAAATATTGCAGGCACATAATATATACTTTGAATGGTCAAAATGCATCTTTAAAATAAATGAATATAAGTATCAAAGTGATTTTAGCACTTGTTTTGAATAGTCCTTCATCTGTAATGTGTCTACACAACCTCAAGGGGTCGTGAGGGGACCATTAAAAATCCTCCACAGGTCTTTTGGTAAGAAGGCCAGTTTACAGTAGGGCTTCCTCTTAGGCTAAAAAAAAAACGTTACAGTACAGTATATGACAGTTAAAAAACCTATATATCAACTAGAGGTGAAAAAAAGTTCAGATGATACCAAAAGGACTTGTATTCCTGCAAGTTATGCAAATTAACAATTCTATAAAAATTGGATTTTATGAGCTACTTCATAAAGAAATGATTAAATAATAAAAAGCGCCTTTTAGACTCAAAGCAGAATTTCTACAATCAAAGGCAAGTGTCTCTGTGAGGAAAAGAGAACTGAGAACATAATTTGAGCTCAGACTGTCACTTCCTTTAGACAGCGAGTCTAGGGAGGTGCAGTTCACATACGCTTGTTAAACAGATCAGTGACTGCATAAATAGAGGGGTAAGTGTGTTACATTGCTTACAGTATGTATTCTATTCTTACTTGTAAAATGTTTGACTAATTATTTGATTAAAATATTTTTTCCCTTCATTGAAAGTTTCTAATAATCTACTCAATTAACAGTAATTAACATTCATTATTTGAGCCTCAGTTAGGGCTATATAAATGCCTCATTCATTCATGGACTAAATTATCATGATACAATTTTTCATATCAGTCGATATCGATAATTAGCACAATAAATTGTTAAAAGGCAGATTGTTGCTCTAATGTGAATATTGTAGAAACCAGTTGATGTTTTAAACCACCCAGTGTTGGGGAGTAGTTAACTACAAGTAGCGAAGCTACTAACTTAACTACATTTTTGAGTAGCTTGGCAGTAGCTCAGTTGCTTTTTAAACAGTGTAGCTTTTCCAGTAGCTAACTACTTTTTGCAGCAAGTAGCGGTGTAGCTCGAGCAAAAGCTACATTGTGTTTGTCGAGCCTGCGCGAATCAGCGCGCTGCTAGGATATTCTTCATCTTGTTAGATTACAAACTCATTTTTTTGCCATCACCGTCACCTGTTGTTTAATCACACATCTGCGGCTAACAGTTCACTGACGGAGCAAGATGTGACAGCAGATTTGGAGGATGGAGAAACAACTAACGTTAAATACCCATGGCCTTATTTGTCCAAGTTCAATCGGTATTTTTGAGAAAATGTTCTACATGCAATTTACGTTGGATGTATATTTTTTTCTTGCAATGTTGTAGCCTATTGGTTACAATTTTGCACTTTTGACAAACAATCTGAGATATTTGGGTGTTGTGTGTAATAAAACAATAGTTTTTGAAATCATAATTTTATTGCAATGTTTTAGTGTTTAAAACAATGCAATAAAATTATGATTTCAAAAAGTATTGTTGTCCCCTTCTGTCCTCAGACACTTATTCAGTTATTAATAATACGTTGTTCAAAAAAGCAAAAGTAGTTTCAATGTAGCTAGCTACTTTTTGATAGTAACTTGTAGTGTAGCTAACTATTTTTCCAAAAGAGTAGCTTGACTGTATAACTACTTTAACTTACGAGTAGCTTGTAGCTTGTCAAACTACAGTTTCAGAGTAGCTTCCCCAACACTGAAACCACCCTTCATTGTCAGAACATGACAAACACTTCACGTTTTTGAATTCTTCACATTTTCCAGTAATTTTTCCTTAACAAAATAAAATATCTTAAAAGGAAAAAATCATTCCTTTGTGTCTACATGTTCAAACAAGTGATGTTTCAATTAATAAATGTGTTGCCTGATTTTGATGACACGTATCTTTGCACAATTTGCAATGGAGGCTGCTATATTAATAATTACATGTTTTATGTCTTAGAAATGCACATTTAACAGTAGACGTAGCTTAAGTTAGGATGCAGAATTTAGTTTATTAACAAAAACTGTAACAACCTCATTTTAATATGGTAAAATTGGAGTTTTATTAAAATCAACCATAGGTCTTTTATAGAAGCATTCATCTAGATCATGATAACCAGTTAAAATCACACATATAGCACATCACAACCATGGCAAAATCTATGGTATTTGTATGAAAAACAGTAGCCTAAATATTTATTTATTATAAATGTACGCTGTAGTATAATCACAAAAGTACTGTAATTACATTTCATTACAGTTTTAAAAGGTACTATATGTAGGATTTTTGCAGTAAAACCATATAATTAGAATACTAATTCTATCTTGAGGCCACGAGATAGTATCTTGAGGCCACGAGTTACTATCCTGAGGCCACGATTTACTATCTTGAGGCCACAATTTACTATCTTGAGGCCACGATTTACTGTCTTGAGGCCACGAGTTAGTATCTTGAGGCCACGAGTTAGTATCTTGAGGCCACGAGTTACTATCCTGAGTTACTATCTTGAGGCCACGATTTACTGTCTTGAGGCCACGATTTACTATCTTGAGGCCACGATTTACTATCTTGAGGCCACGATTTACTATCTTGAGGCCACGAGTTAGTATCTTGAGCCCACGAGTTAGTATCTTGAGACCACGAGTTACTATCTTGAGGCCAGGAGTTACTATCTTGAGGCCACGAGTTACTATCTTGAGACCATGAGTTACTATCTTGAGGCCACGAGTTACTACAGTATCTTGAGACCACGAGTTACTATCTTGAGTCCACGAGTTACTATCTTGAGGCCACGAGTTACTACAGTATCTTGAGGCCACGAGTTACTATCTTGAGGCCACGAGTTAGTATCTTGAGGCCACGAGATAGTATCTTGAGGCCACGAGATAGTATCTTGAGGTCACGAGTTACTATCTTGAGGCCACAAGTTACTATCTTGAGGCCACGAGTTACTATCTTGAGGCCACGAGTTACTACAGTATCTTGAGGCCACGAGTTACTATCTTGAGGCCACGAGTTACTATCTTGAGGCCACGAGGGGGGCTCCGTAGAAAAGTAACCTGACCTTGTCATAAAACTTTGTTTAAATGATCATATGACGCTGCTACTTCATTGTCGACCTAATGTTTTTGTTTTGATGACGCATGCGGCGGTGTGACACTGGTGGCTGGTGTTCTCAGATTGGTTGTGTTTTTGCTACATATTAAGGCCTGTTTACGGTGTTTTAGCCGGGTTTTCGCCTGGAATGCTCTATAGAAATCTGGCACCCTATTGAACGAAGTTAAAGTGAGAGAGCGTGCGTTCACAGACACCAGAATGAACAAGTTCACAGTAACGTTCATCAGCCAGTAATACAGTACGTTCAGTTCACGTTCGCCCAAAATATGAACGGGTTCAGTGAACGCGTTCAGGCACAACACTGCCTACATGCAGTTAGTGTTACTATTGTAAACCATGGTAAATTATGGCGATTTGATGATTGAAAAGCTATCTGACTTTATCAGTGTAGTTTTATGTGCCTTTAAACTAGATTAAATTATTGTTTTATCGAGGAAAATTCTATTTTGATAATTATTTTTATCGTTTTATCGCCTAGCCTTAGTTTGACCAAAACGATAAGGCAAAAGCAATGAGATTTTAATTATAATAACTTAAGAGCTCTAATATTGAGACAAACATATTTAATTGAATTATATACAATTGAAACACCTATTTTGTGGTTAAATGTGCACTGTAAAAAAAAAAATATTTTCAAGATTTGTTATCACAACATTTTTTATTTTGTCAAATCAACTTAAATAATTTATTTAGGTCAGATAACTTATTATTTTGAGTTTCTTATGATTAAATCAATCTCCTTCATTGTATTAACTCCTGTTTATTTTTTAGGAATTTTAAGGAAACCAGGTTACTTATTTTTTTAAGTTAAACCAATAATATTTTTTACAGTGTGGATGCTGCGAAATCTGTAAAATTCACGCACACTTTACTGCTGGACCATGCCGATAACTATGAACTAATGACTATAGAATGTCTGCCAACATCACCCTGGTCTGTTGACTATATATAAAAAAGTGGTTCTCAAACCTTTTTGGTCGCGCTCCCCTTTAAATCTTAAAAAAAAAATGTGGAATAACTCTATAAAAGCAGAGCGCTAATCGCTATTCACACACTTTTTTTTTCTGCCCCACACTTTGACAACCACTGTGTGGGAAAGTAGCTTATCAGCTTCTGCGATTGGGTAGAATAATTACCGGAATGCAAGTGGCATTTATTGTTGCTTCTATAAATACAGAAAATAGGAAGCACAGGTTTATCATTAGTGTCACCATTTTCCCTCACTAGTATAAATAGTACAACTATTTAATTTTCGCAATGATGTAACTATTCAATTATTTTCTTCCTCAGCTGTTGGGAATCTCTTAATTTTTGCGAGAGCTCAATGGCAAACAGTTCACATGTTGAACACAACATTTCCTACCTGTGCCAAACAACCGCTACAAGTGTAGTTCTGCCCATTATCTACACCATCATGTCTCTCACTGGCCTGCCTGGGAATGCTATTTCTCTTTGGGTGTTCATGCACAAGATTGACATCAAAACGTCCACCCATATCTACCTGATAAATCTAGGGATCTCAAACATGTTGCTCTGCCTCACCATGCCAGTCCAGGCTGCATATTACTCGCTTGGAATCACATGGGACCAACACAACACTATGTGCCAAATAGCAATAAATGGTCTTACTCCAGTGATCCATATCAACATCTGCATTGGTGTGATGATAATGAGCTGGGTGGCACTCAGTCGCTTTGCCTCACTAATTCAACATTCGCATGCAGACCCAAGCCGGTGGCTCAAAGTTCTACCCAGAGCCTTCTTTTGTCGAAAACGGCAAGCAAAACTGGCCTATGCACTTTGCCTAATCACCTGGGCTATTGTGGCCATAGCAGTCACATCCTTCGTGGTGCTGTACTCAATCAGGGCTGGAAGCGAGAAGGACGGTGACGGAAATGAAGTGTGTTACAGTGTGGCGGTGGAGGTTGGAGGGGAAGGATCTCACGTCTTCGCGCTGGTGGCTGTTTCATTGTTCTTCGTCTTCTTCCTGCTGGTCTTAAGCGCATACATGGCAGTGATCAGGCACATCTGGAGGTCCAAGAAAAGCACGATCATCTCTGACAGGCAGCGAGTCTATGCAAGAGTGTTTCGGAATATCGTTGTCATTAAGGTCGTGCTGGTGGTCTGTCTCCTGCCGTATCACATCTATAAGGCCATCTTCGTTAATATTGTCAATGAGCAGTCTTGGACTACATCACCCACAACAGAGGCTTGCCATCCACTATCCATGTACGTGGAGGTAAAAAGCATCCTCCTCTGTTTAGCGTCTCTGCGATGTAGCACAGACCCCATCATGTACTTCCTGCTGGACAAGACGTTTCGTAACCATGTACATAGCCTGATGAGATTACGCGCTAACGCAAAAGACAGTCAGTCATCAAAGTCGAATGGAGGACAGTTATCTCAGGCAACAACTGGGTGTCTTTAGACATTACTTGAGAGGATACTGTACGCTGACACAAAGGAGTCTCATTGTGAACAATGTTCCCTAACAGCTGAACAATGTTTGGCCGCACACACCAATAAGAAAGAGAAAGTGAATGTGATTCTCTTCAATAGGTTTACTTCCACATGTCCATTGTTCTTCAGTATTGACCTGAAGCTATGAGAACCTTACACAGTGCTGAGAAATGCTTTATAATAGAGGATATGCAGGCAGGCACAATGTGAAACCCAATGCAAACAAGTAATCTTTCAAATAGAAAAGTGACTAATCAGACAAGAATTGATCTGATGCTTCTGTTCCCACACCACTTTGAATTGCTGTATAGCTATATTGCTTGTGTAGCTATGAAGAGATCAGCAAAAAAAAAAAAAAAAAAAAAATGCTGTCATCATTTACTTACCTTAAAGTCATTCTGAACCTATATTACTTTTTTTCCTTTTGAAATATGTCTGCTTTTTTTTGTCCATGTCCTGGTGACATATGCCAAAATCCTTAAATGATTTAGTCCGCTTAAACCTATCCCCCTTTTTTTTATTCTGTTGCTAATTAAAGCCAGTAAGTCAAACAAGTTTGGAAAGACATCAGGGTGAGCAAATGACAACAGAATTTAGTTTGAGTGTGTGTATGCGTGTGTGTACTATCCCTTTAATGTGATTTCTTGCACATTTAAAGCATGCCACATTAACTTTTAATGATTGTACTCACATTTCAGGGTGTTTTTCAAATATGTTGTTATAGGTCTTGCCCATCCATGACAACTTGTTTTTTGTTTTTTTATTTGTTACATTACATATAGTTTCCCGTTTCCATTTGCATGCTGGTTCTTGTGGTATTGTGTTATAAGCTTCCCATTAGTTGTGAAAACTGTGCCTTTACATTATTTGCAGCACACTCATATGACTGTCATAGGTAATGATGCATGATGGACAAGGTATCCATTTATATTTCTGATAGAAGCAGCATTAAAAACCACTACTTTATAGACAGTAAATATTAAAGTCTCTCAGGAGCTTAAAAGTCTGCATCATTACTCCTATAAATAGCAAGATTATTTCCTACTTTGCTGTTGTGCTGTCAATCTAATCTCAGCAAGATAGCTGGCTCCATTAACCATTTTTTTCAGAATATAGTCCATCAAATTAAAGATCAAATCGTAGGCAAACTGTATCTAGAAAATCAGAAAACCATTTGCTTGGTGTAGCACCATATCAATGGTACATATGCTAAACATACAGAGCAATTCATGAAGAGCAAAGTAAATGTATAATCAAGATTATTAAGAAAACCTCTGAAAATGTTGCAGTGTTTACAAGTCAGCAAATTCTCAGCAGAGACTGGTTTCTTGGCACTCAAAACTGCTGTTCCTTTCCTATTCAAACTAAGCTGAATGTGACCAAATGCTCTGCTTAGAATAGAATATTCTGTTTCCAGATGATGTGTGAAAAAATCCTGGCTTCTGTAGTTACATTTAAAGGATTTGACGTAAATTATGACACACTGACCCCAGTAACCAAGATTATCTGTTCTAATAAGATCTCAATGCCCTGCAGCTATGGTAGGTTTGTATTTCTCTGAGGCATCATATTCTGGAGGTCTGATTTGATTTTATCTTACAAATCACATATATAAAGCCAATACGTATACTATACTCTGTCTAAAGTTTATTAAAGTCCCTGTAAAGTCAAAATTAAGTATGTGTTCACACCATAGAAAAATGTGTTATTAGCCACCCAGCCAAATTTGAATGATAAAAAAGCCGGCAAGTACATAAAATAAGCTATCAAAATCTTGAAAAAATGAGCAGTTATCTCTTTTCTCAAATGCTGGGGGTGTGTCCGCTGGCTGTGCTGAAACCACGCCCACTAGCGGGAAAGCTGTTGACGGTGATATTAGCTGATACTGCTTTCGGGACGGGAGGTTGAACACTGAGGCGGGAGATAGTCGTTTCGGCCCCGTTCACCAGTAACAGTGGATTATCAGTGAATCCCAGTTGTGTCTGAGGAAAGTTTATAAAACTATCCAGTGTAAAATGATCACTTCAGAGGCGGGTGTTGAAAGTGATCCTCAGCTCTTCACAAGGGGGTAATCCATCGACCGGAAGTTGAAGCCTCGCGGGAGTTGCCATCTTGTAGCAGAACTTCACTTGCGTTAGCATTCCCATTGACTCCCATTCATTTTGGCGTCACTTTGACAGCAAACAACTTTACATCTGAGGCATTTGAAGACCCCATTTGTAGTTTATTTATTTCTAAAGAAACACGACAATGTATAAATAGCTCCATTACCTTGTAGCTTATGTTATGGCCCCGTAGAAGCAGTTTTAGTGAAAGTAGGCTAACGATTGCGGCATACCCACACGACTCTCTGTCGCACGTAGAGAGATTACCGTATGGACAGGAGGAGAAGCTCACGTGCAATCGGGGAAACGTGGAGACAAAATGACAAAATAATTAATCAGAATACCTAGCAAAAGTGTCTCCTTCTCCTCGCTCATGGACAGCTCCTATTCACACTCTCCGCCTCTGCATGTTTCGGAAGGGAATGATTCAGATTTCTCATGCCACAGCACTAGAAGACAGACGGGTTGCTCTCGTCACAACTACGTCGTCAAACTCTGTTTGAGTCTGCGCGTCAGGGACGGAAGTGCTAAAAAATCGCCAAAAACGGGCTCCACGAGTTCCAATGAGATCGGTCTGTCCATTTCTTTTACTGTCTATGGCTCTTCACCAAGGTTGGTTCTCTAAAAACCTCTTCTTGATGTGATCGTTTTTATGAAATTTAAATGAAGATACTGATCTGTTTTGTACATGATCGCATCCAGGTAGTAGCCTATGCAGCCTATGCATTTCTGTGTCGAAAACTGTAGGCTCAGCTGTAGTTGTACTGACAGTCACTCGCGATTGAGCAGTGAATGCGAATGTGCTCGGGGAGTGTTATTGTGTGTAAGGGGAGAGATCAGACTCTGTGTGTCATCAAATAGGGGCGTGTCCAGGAGCTCATGAGCTCCAGTGCGTCATTGAGCCCTGTTTTAGCCCCGCCCAAACAATCCGTAAAATTGCAATGGTGAAAAACTGTTTTAACGGTCTAACTTCACATTTCAGTACTTCACAGTTCACAGTCTTTGTAATATGTTTTAGCAATAAATATGCAACATTTATAATGTGTTTAGAACTTTTTTGTAGAATTGCCTTTACAGGGACTTTAAAATTTGCCTTTGCATTTGTTCTTAGCACAGTTTAATTAAACCAGTGATTATTAAGTTGGATCAATACAAATTTGGAAAACATATTTTGAGCAGTAAAATAAATGTATTTCAGGGTATTTTATTTTCATGTTTAATATGTTTAAATGTTGTGTCACAGTTCTTAGGTTTTAGGTTTAAGGGTTTGTATTCAATAGCCTTTTCCATGTCTGCCAAATTCAAGTATATTGAGAATAAAGTTAAATAAACATGCATACAGTATTTCTTTAATATCAACCAAATTTACTGACTTTTATACAAGCTTTCATTAACAGAAGCACATCAGAAGCTTTTTTTTTGTGTGGCTTTTTTATGCTGTGAGCATAGTTGATCATATTTTTATTTATAGGCTGTGAGTTGTAACTGCGTTGTATTTGGATCTTAAGCAACTGATCATCATAACCCTATATTAATTTCACATTTAATTCCCTCCTATTGACAGCTGCAGGCCGTTTATAAGAAAAGAGAACATTCCTTTAGAAGCAGTTTACGGCAATGTGTAATTTTAGGATTTTTATTGACACATCTTTAAAATCACAGGGGGGGAGGCAATTCAACAAAAGTGTGAATCGCAAAGACCTCAGTGTGTAAAAAAGGAGTTTAATAGTCATCTGAAGCACTGGTGTGTTCACGTGCAAAGGAAAATACGATATTTTCCACTTGTGAACTGGTATTTACCAGTGTGTTGAGTTCAAGTGCTTTTGTTGTCGTAATGTGGTAAAAAGATGGAGATCCAGGCCTGTTATTTAGCTAAAACTATTTTAGATTGCTTAAGTCTTCTGCTACAGGAAGAAAATGATTTATCAAAACTCAAACAGTAAATAATATGCTGAATATTTTGTAGATCATAAATAGTACATATTTTTACCATCATGACTCTCGCGTTGCTCTCCGGCATTTTGAAAAGGTCAAAGGTTATCTCATCTTGGCAACTCGTGCATCGAAATATTCTATGTGCTGCCCAGTGGAAAATACCACATGAGGGGTGTTCATGTGCATTTTCCACGTCGGCTTTTGATATTTATAATTACCATCGCACGTGAACACACCATAAGACACCACTGAGCTTACCTTCACATCCCGGTGAATGATGTTGTTGTCATGGCAATACCGTAATGCCTCTAGGATCTGTCTCATGTAGTGACTAAAGGAATAGAGAAGAGAGGGTGGGAAAGAGAGAAACCCATTTTAATCTGAATGGAAAGAAAGTGGGAAGTAGGTTTGGAACTATATGATGGTACTATATGAGTAAATGATGACAGAATTTTCTTTTTGGGGGGAACTATCCTTTTTAACACAGATAACAAAGTCTAAAACTTTACGGAGAGCACAGGAACAAGAAATGTATGAAACTGGCCTTAGAGCTGTTTACCTGGCGACTGCCTCACTGTAAACAAAACCAGCGTCTGCTCTCTTCACAATCTCAAAGCAGAGATCTGCTCCATCCATACTGAAAGACAGAACAAGACAAGAAACAATATATTAGCAATATAAAGTCAAATACTGGTCAATCAGTTCTAGGTTCATTTATGATTGAACTTTACGGGAAACAAATACAAATCTTTAAGATATTGGTGAAAAACAATTGTGTCTGTGACCCCGCCTACACTGAAATGTAATTTGCCCCAAATCCCATCATATATCTATATATTAAACATCAAGGTTGATTTCAAAAACTTTTGCAACTTTGAGGGCCAGATGTATGTACATTTGCGAACGCAGCGTTAATAGCGTCATGGCCAAACGCTTGATGTGAAACTGCAATGTGCGTGTTATGTACCAAACCTGGAGTTCATCAGGTAATCAGCGCCTGTCCCCATCCACTATACCGTAAATTGCGTAATTTCCGTAAATTGAAAATTTAAACGTGCAATTGAATGGTCCTCCTCCTCTCACTGCTGACTGTATGAAATGATCCTGATGCCAATAAATGTAATGTAGCGAGGAGTTTAACAACTGCTGGAATGGAATGTGAACGCTGATTCGGAGCTTAATGGTTTTGTTTTCACAAAAGTGTAATTCTTGTGGCAAAAATCTTTTCAGCTTCTCTCCTTAGCCTATGTCTTAGTCTTGCTCGGATTACAGCTGCTATTTCACCAAGAGGCATACGTAAGGAAACCCGCTTCCTAAGTTACACCTGCTTTTAAGAGGTGGACAATTTTCATCACGGTGCATCCCGTTCATACATATCTCGCCATGGTTTTATGCACACTTTTCGAAACAAATACACCTGAAGTGGGCAGAAAAGTGTTAGTACATCTGGCCCTCAGTGTGAGATGGTCCTCAACATGAAATCCAGGGGGAGGAATGGGATCCAGATCCAACTCCTCCCACCTTACATATACCTAAACCTACCCATCTCCATCCCCTGATCCCTAACCCCACCCCTAATCCAACCCATCTGAAGACCCATTCCCCACCCCAAGTGAAGACACTTTCAATGCAAAACGTCTTAAGTGTGATTTTTGCATCTAAAGGCAAAACCCGAGCGGCATGCTGTTAGTTCCCCATTATCTCTGAGGACAAACTCAACTGTAAGTCAATTGTGGCCAATTTTAGAAATAAACACTTTTCTGATTTAAATATTTTCCCAATGCTTTAACAATAAGATGTGTTGTTTCCAGAGGGCAGCAAAGCTCGGGAAGCTCCTACTTTTGTGTTGGCTCGTGTCTCTAAGGCCTTTAAAGAAAATCCCTTGAGAGGCAGCTGCGCTTCTCCAGATAAGAACTCACACTTCATGAAAGTTCTTTGAGAAAAGCTTGGCACTTCAGATAAGCATATGAGCATTTAGCATTTGGGGAATTAAAAAGCTCACCCTAGTCTACAAAACTGCTGAGAGAGCAATAGACACAGGCTCCTCTAGACAGAGAATAGGATGTTCATGTCTATGTTCATGCTTTTTAGAGTTCACCGACCAAACCTCACCACAATATGCCTCTATATAGCCAAACCTTCAAAACGTTGTTCCTTTCACACACTCCAGACAAATGTGTTGGACTCACATGTGCTACAATAAACAAAGAAACAGCAATGCGTTTTGATTTCTTGTGTACATGAGTACACGTGTAAAGCTTGTCGATGTTATGTTTCCCAATGCAACAAATCCAACATTTAAATTAAAAATGTTTGATTGCATTTGGGAGTTTATGTGAACAAAGAATTAATGGAATAATAAAACAAGTGCAGATTTGCTCAGAATGAAGGACTTACAACTCAAACACCATGTAGAGCATGCCATCAGAGCTGTAGGTCTCCAGAAGCTCCACTATGTGAGGATGTTTCAGCATGTGACAGATGCTCGCTTCCCTCTTCAGATCTACAGGAAGACAAAGAGGTGAATTTCAGTTTCAAATTGAGTCACTTTCAGGAAATGTATTTTTGTACACACCAATTTACTATTTTTAGCAACATTAAAATAAACTTTTATCCAAAGTTTTGGTGGTTTAAATGTAAGCATAATGAATTATCTTGTTTCTATGTTTATTATCGGTAATATCCCAACTCAATACAAAAAGTCAACCTCAGCACCACTTATAAAACTAGTTAGCACGATTAACAAAAAAAATGCACGAGTGCACAATTAGATATTTGTGGTGAGAGAACTGCATAGTCAACCCCACACACACCGCTACTCTTCTGGTATATAATTAAAATGGTTGGCATTCAACAATAACAGCAAAAAGAAAATTGTAAAATGGAACATTAATGGAACATGCTATAGTGCGATTCACAAACACATATATTACGTGTATCATACACTTTGACGAAGGAACTACCATGGATAAAACTTTTTAAAAATCATACAATAGAGGGGTCAATGATGTGGTGACGCTACGTTTTTGTCCAGATCTATTGATGCATTTAAAAATATAGTGCAATTCGTGCATACAAAGGATTAAATACATCTCTCCTATGACAAACGGTTTTATTTTCTGTATCAAAATTAATTTAGATATTCAAAAAAAAAAAAAAAAAAAAACGGTTTGGGTGTTACAACTGTTCCAATATCATTAATGGATATAAAAAAAAAAAAAAAAAAAAAAGAATTAGAAAACACCACCCCTACCACCCCACAGAGACAAAGCAGATACAGTATACAGACCAGAAAACATGACAGAGACTTTAAGATGTGTGAGGTTGGAGTTTTGCTGGTGTGCAACAAAATCTAGAACACTATTATTATAATGTAACACTTAAATCAACATCTGCTCAGTTGAGGAACATCTCTCCGGCAGTCAACAACAAAAAGTAATAGTGGTCCATCTTAAGACTCAACATCATCAGACCGACCAGCCCAGAGGCTTGTTACTGATCAGCCATAAAACAGACACTCCTCTGAGTGAGGCCTATATAGTATGCAGACTACAGCATGGATCTTATTTATTTAAACCATCAACCAGACAATATAACTGAGACTTTAAATTATGAGAGCCAATGGAGTAAAATCACTTATTACAGGGAAAAAATAAAGCCCCTAATAAAAGCCATAAAATAAAGTGTTTTTATGACACTTGACGTTAACTGGTCCATTCAAACAGACTTTTTGTCTTTAACTTGAAATGTTTTGATTACCAACTGTGCTTGTGACAAAAATAGTTATTTTTCCAACAAAACGTAAAGCAGAAACATCGACAATAATCAGAAATGTGTCTTGAGCAGCAAATCAGCATGTGAAGAGTTCAGATGCAAAAGCCTCTAAATGCCATTTGAAATTTTCCTCTTTAATGATGATTTTTATCAAACTTGTATATTTATGTTCAGTGATTTCACTTAAATGGCAATGATAATTACCTATTAATTGTTATTTAAGTGAAATTACTGAACTTACATATACAAGTTTGATAAAAATCATCATTAAAGAAGAAAATTTCAAATGGCATTTAGAGGCTTTTGCATCTGAACTCTTCATATTAGAATCATTTCTGGAGGATCATGTGACACTAAAGACTGGAGTAATGGCTGCTGAAATTCAGCTTTGCATTACAGAAATAAATTACATTTTAAAAAATATTAAAATAGAAAAGAGCCGTTTTAAATTGTAATAATATTTTACAATATTACTGTTTTACGATAATAAATGAGAGACTTTATTAGAAAACATAAAAAAAAAACGTCACATTTTTGAAAGGTACTATAAATGTTTAAATGCAGCTTTATTATCAAAAATACTTTTTTCAAACCAGAGTTTACAAGTTCGTCATGGTTTGTGAGTGGCTCGTCTCCAGACTGCAGTGTTTATTAAACAAGTGCTGTGGCAGTTCTGTCTTATGGCATTGCATCTGGCCTCTTAATGACCACCCCATCACTATGACACCACCTCCACTAATATGCCTCATGTCTGGAGGTGAGAGAGGAAAGGATATACCACTTTTAGGTTCGGCACTTGCACAGTACAGTAAGCATTGATTGCAAGCCTAGATGAACCTAAAGCACTGATGTTTAATGTGACATAATATAACATAAGTATGATGGTTGAGAGAACATGAGACTATTGAACATTGGCTCTTTTATCTGATTTCAGCATATACACTCATCTAAAGGATTAATATGAACATCATACTAATACTGTGTTTGACCCCCTTTCGCCTTCAGACCTGCCTTGATTCTACGTGGCAGTTGATTCAAGTTCAACAAGGTGCATTCTTTAGAAATGTTGGCCCATATTGATTGGATAGCATCTTGCAGTTGATTGAGATTTGTGGGATGCACATCCAGGGCACAAAGCTCCCGTTCAACCACATCCCAAAGATGCTCTATTGGGTTGAGATCTGGTGACTGTGGGGGCCATTTTAGTACAGTGAACTCATTGTTTAAGAAACCAATTTGAAATGATTTGAGCTTTGTGACATGGTGCATTATCCTGCTGGAAGTAGCCATCAGAGGATGGGTACATGATGGCCATAAAGGGATCAACGTGGTCAGAAACCAGACTGATCTCATGAAATGGCATGTGTATGACACGCCAATTCATATTTCCATTTTTGGCGTGCTATCAACACGCATAATCGCTCTTCAGTGTGTTTATGAACACCGTTGACTTAATGTTACATTACTGTATATATAAATATATGACCTACCCGAACCCCGTCCCTAAACCTACCTGTCACTGGGGTTAATACCATTTATGAGTCTTCCCCAACCATCCTAGGAAAAAAATATATCGCTCCCCAGATGTAGATCTACATTTTGCTTCGTTTCGCTCGGACATTTAACGGCGTGTACATACACGTGGATAGCTCAAAATGCATATAGATAACACACCACTTGATTTGAATATGGCGTGTATGTTTACGCAAAAGTCATGATGTCATGTTGCAGAAACAATGCTAAGGCAGGCCATGGCACTTAAACGATGCCCACTTGGCACTAACCACATCATTACACCACCACCACCAGCCTGCACAGTGGTAACAAGGCATGATGGATCCATGTTCTCATTCTGTTTACGCCAAATTCTGACTCTACCATCTGAATGTCTCAACAGAAGTCGAGACTCATCAGACCAGGCAACAATTTTCCCAGTCTTCAACTGTCCAGTTTTGGTGAGTTCTTGCAAATTGTAGCCTCTTTTTCCTATTTGTAGTGGAGGTGAGTGGTACCCGGTGGATTCTTCTGCTGTTGTAGCCCATCCGCCTCAAGGTTGTCTGTGTTGTGGCTTTACAAATGCTTTGCTGCACACCTCGGTTGTAACGAGTGGTTATTTCAGTCAAAGTTGCTCTTCTATCAGCTTGAATCAGTCGGCCCATTCTCCTCTGACCTCTAGCATCAACAAAGCATTTTTGCCCACAGGACTGCCGCATACTGGATGTTATTCCCTTTACACACCATTATTTGTAAATCCTAGAGATGGTTGTGCGTGAAAATCCCAGTAACTTGCAGATTGTGAAATACTCAGACTCGGCCCGTCTGGCACCAACAACCATGCCATGCTCTAAATTGCTTAAATCACCTTTCTTTCCCATTCTGACATTCAGTTTGGAGTTCAGGAGATTGTCTTGACCAGGACCACATCCCTAAATGCATTGAAGCAACTGCCATGTGATTGGTTGATCAGATAATTGCATTAAGGAGAAATTGAACAGGTGTTCCAAATCCTTTAGTTGAGTGTAGATGTGCAATAAAGTTATATTCCAATTGTTAAAATCTCTAGGGTACAATGTCTTGTAGCTTATTATACTACATTCTTAGCTTATACTACATTGTCAAAAAATAATTAATTAAATTGGCTCTAAAGTTTCCATTGTACTTAAGTTATGTTGTGTTTATTCAGTTGCAATTATCTAAATGTGCAGCACCTCTTCCATCTGCTCCAGCTGTTTAAAGCCTGTGTTTCAACTGTGGGGTGCTTAGGGACTAATGGGAAAATCTGGGACACTCATGAGGAGTCGATGTGTACCTTTAATATGATGGAAGGGCAATCTGAAATTCAACTCGATTATTCGAAGAGGAAAATCTTTCAAATCAGAGGGTGAGATTTACTCACGGAGAAGAGGCAGCTTGGTTTGGAAGTTTGGCACAACATTCCCACACATTCCAGACACTCTCTACTCTCGATCTCTATTCAGCTTCCTCTAACGGAGTCTACCCTGGGACATTCCCATGACAATTGGTGTCTACAAACGGCCAAATTTCTCACAACAAAATCGGCGACACATGCACATTTTACGGCTTGAGGGCTTACTGAGATGCAGGAATAAAACATGTTGGCTGGCTCCAGCAGGAAGGAGAGCTGACAGCAGACGTCCAGCACCTGAACAATCCCACTCATGACAGATAAACACAAACACACTCGCACTGCTGACCTTATGCTGTCCCGCTGGACTCAGGCGTGCTTTGTTTTGCACTGTGCACTGTGCGTGAGAATGTGCGTTTTGAAGTGATGGGCAGTACATCACGACGACAAACCTGCGGTCTAGTGGTTAGAACAAATGTCTTTACACGTCAAACAGTGGTGCTAATATGGATGACAAGAATTCAGATCTGGCTTGCAACTTTCTCCTGTTCCCTGCTCTTCTAATAATTTTGATTCCATTCTCTACTACTTAGGCTAGTTTAAATTAGTCTCCAATCAATTTGTTTTTTTTTTAAATGTTGAAATTAAGCTGATATAACAATTTAATTTAAATATGGTATAAAACATTCAAAACATTACTGCAATAAAATTACAATTTTATTTAATATTTTCTAAAACCATTGAAATGACTGATTTCAAAATAAATCAGTTTGGGAAATTTTGGGGAAAAGATTTATAATTTAGCAAAATATCCTTGATTCAGTTCTGTAACCCTATTATAGACTACAGTATTTATTACACAA